GACTCACTGGGGGGCGCTGCCGCAGGAAAGCATCCCGGTAAACGTGGAGAAGGTCGCGTCCTCGCTTGCCCCTCTCAGCGCGAAAGGGTTCGCACCCTTTGGTGACATACCCATGCACCCCAGCGCAACTTTCCTCTTTGACGGGCGGCGATCCGTGGAGCGTGAAGTAAATGTACTGTATGTCCGCGATGCTCTCGACTGCAAGCGCACTGAGCACACACGACGTGCTCCCGAAAGAGCGTGCAGGAAGAGTTCGCATGGCCCTCACAAGGGAACCTATTCAGGGGGTACACTCAGATTTCGACCAAACTTTTTTTTTCGTAAAATAAACATATAAGAAATTAAGAATGCACCCAAAGTCGGGCCAGATAATATCACACGCTCCTGCCCTTTTCTAAACCGAAAAAAAGGGGTAAAATGGCCATGATTTTACATGCAAGGAGCAGTTTCGGTCGTAATTGGGAAAAAGTCGCACCAAATTTGCGCAAAATGATAATATATGTAAAACCCCAAAAACTCTCATGTTGACAAGGGGACCAAACATTAAAAATGACAACTCGACTTCAATTTTCCCCGAAATTCGAATGTCCGAAAATGACCCGCTGCTTGGGGGCTAATAAGGGCTTATTTCCCCTTTTTAGGTTTTAAAAAATTCGGTAAAGGGGGGTCGCGTCTGTTCTTGGCACCACTTTGGGTGCATTCCCTAATTTCCTTTTAGGGGGGGATTCTTACGTGAAGAAAAATGTACTGGTCGCGAATCTGAGGGGGTACCCCCGGGAATAGGTTCGTTTGGGTCAGCCAAGGCGTTCGTGTGTGTGCTCGCCAACTGCCTTCCAGTGCTGACATTTTCAAAAGGATAGTCTTTGAGTGGTCCGACTTCGTATCAGACGGTGCCGCACCGCGCTCCGCGTTGAACAGGAGGGAATGGGATTCTAACGCGCCTCTGGGGCTTGTGGGTCTTGCCGAAAACAGCGGTGTGTCTCGGGACAGGACGTGGCGGTTATCAGCGGCAGCCAAACCTGGAGGGCCGTCGCCGTGTCGGCGTCGTGTCGGCGTCCCCGGCGTCCCCCGACGTGTCCAGGCGCTTGTTTGCCTCTTTGTCGCTTCGTGGCTGTTCGCGTGCGAGGCTTGTTTGCGGGGTTTCGAGTGTTTTCCCGGCTCCGGGCCTCCGGGCCTCTGGGCCTCCGGCCGGCGGATGGATTTGAAGGGGACGCCGTTAGTTGATGTTGTGGCCCGCGCGAGCCGCGTGAGCCGCGGGGGTCCGTTACTACCCAACAATCTGCCGGATTTGGTAGGAGAGGCTCGGACAAGGAGAGCCTCGGTTTTCGAAATTGGGTTTATCTCGGCGTGTGACTCACTCGGGCCGAGATACTGTTTGGCCGGCCGGCGTACAGTCCCTGCCAGTGTGGCTGCAGTGTGGTGGTACAGTCCGCGCGGGGAATAACGCGTCGGCAAAACAAGAGGCCGGTCCTGCGTGCTTCTGCTTGCTTGCCTGTTTGTCTCGCTTGCCGTTTTCGCGAAGCCACCGGCTCGCCGATAACGGGCTTGGCTGAATCGGGGAAATGCAGTCGAACATGAGGAAACCCGGAAGAGGCGCTTGTATGTGTGTGTGTGTGTGTGTGTGTGTGTTGCGCGGCGAGAAGGGATCCCCCTGGAAGCCGGCGCTGCCTGCCTGCCTGGCGGCGCGTGGCGGGGCGTAGCGGCGCTCGCCGTGCCGTGAGAAGTTGCCCGTTAGATCCTTTCGACCCACTTATTTTGTACCCTTTCCCCGCGCCCCTCCGCCCCTCTGCCGCGCTCGGCTCCTCCACTGTCAACCCGGCCAGCGTGACGTCGCCGCGCGCAGTGTCCGTACAGTGTACGCGCGGTATGCCATTGCGGCGGCTGGCGAGTGGAATATGCCGGGCGGCTGGACGCTGCGCTGAACGGCGCGGCGGTCCGGCCTTCCGCCTGCCAGTGTGGCAGACGCACTGACGGACGGGCAGCACGCGTCGCACAGTGGGCCAGAAGACCGGTGGCGGCGGACAAAACTCTAGACGCGTTTTGGGCTCCAGAGTCGCTGAATGGGACTCGAACCGAGCGTGTTACCCCACCAATGGATTGCTCTCCGAACGAGGAATCCATTGATGGGGTCACACGTTCGGTTCGAGTCCTATTCAGCGACTCTGGAGCTCAAAATGCGTCTAGAGTTTTGGCCGCCTCCCTGTGCCTCTTCCACATTCCTTCTGTCTCTCTCGCCCCCTTCCTTGAGGTGTCGCTGCCGGGCTTAGCCAAAACAATGCGCCAGCAGACTGCAATTCCGATTAGTCGTGCGAGACAGACGTCGCCGAAAGCCTCACCCCCAGGACGCGATTCGATCTGATCAGCGTCGCCGTTCGAAGGGCGTCGCGAGTTTTGGCATTTGAGTCTGGTTTGAGGAACGTGAGCGCTCGCGGGGTGAGTCGCGGGGAAGTCCTCCGCGTCGCGCTTGGCCGTGCTCGGCGACGAAGGAATCCGGCACGCCCAAGGCAAAGGAAGGCAATGGCCAAGGCAATGGGCAATGGCCAAGGCCGGCACTGAAAGTCACTCGGTGTATCGTCGCAGCACCGCTGATAGTGCTTGGGCTGCTTGGGCCGCTTGGGCTGGGAGGGTGAAAGTGGCCGGATCCCGGATGCCTGGCCGCGAGGGCCCCGCGAGGGCCCCGCCGACTAGCCGACCGTGTCCGGGGTGGCTGGCTTGGGCTGGCTGTGTGGCTGGACAGCGCTGTTGGCGGCACTGCCCCGCTTTCCCGGCGGGTCGCGGCGGCCTTGGGGTTCCCCGCGGATTTGAACCCGCGCCCCGGGAATGTGCATCGTGTGTTTTGTCTGGCTGCCGTCTGGGAGTCGGGCCCGCGGCGCGCCGTCGGCGGGCGGGGCGTCGGCAGGCCGTCGGCATGCCGACTCGGACTCGGCGCGTCCGCTTATCTCTTGAACTCTGGCTGAACCCGGCCCGCTCCTCCAATGCGCAGGGCGCACGAAGTGGAGTGGCGTGCCGCCTTGCTGCGCCTTGCTGCGCGCGCCCCAGGATCGGGTTGTCGCAGCAAGCTCGCGGCCTCGGTGACGTCGGCGCGCTCCTCGCAGTGTCGTCTCCACCCCCTCCTCCGTCACCACAAACCGCCGCCGAGGACGCACGATCCATCGCGAGCCTGGCGGGGTGACCCAGGGCGTGGCGGCGCGGCAGGCTCTGTGTTGAGCCCTGTCGGTCCGGTCGGGGGCCATCGGGGTCCCCGTCCGGGGGGCGGGGGAGTGAGTGGACGGGTCGGACGGGGTGGCGAACGGAACGGGCGTCGCTTCCGACGATGCCCGGGGTGAGCCCGCTGCTGCTCGCTGTCCGGAGGGCGCGTACTGCGTACTCCAGCCCAGCCCTTCTGGATTTGGACGTATCGATCGAGTGCTGCTGGTCGCGTACCCTCGGGCGCTCGCGAGGGGCGGAGGGGGCCCGGCGTGGGTACCGTGGGTACGCGTCGCGCCGCCTGCCGCGCGTTGAGGAAAGCACTCGACGCTGCTTCCACTCCACCTTGGTTCCGCTTGGAGTGGGTCAATAACCCGGTCGTGTCTCTGTGCCTTTGACGCCCACTTCCTCCCCGCCCTGCCTCGCCCCCCCGTCCTGTCCGGAGAGTCATTCGCCACGGTGGGCTGGCCACTCCCAGCACTCCCCACCCCGCTCAAGGTGAGGGTTGTGGCGTCGCGTTGTGCAACCCGGCGGCCTTGTCTGCCATCCCGGCCGAACGGGGGTTGTTGGTTGCTCGGCGGGGCCTTCCCCTGCAGGAGAAGACCCTCCCCGGCTTGCAGGGCGTGCTTGACCGCGCGGGCTTATTTGCGCGGTTCGCGTCCGGTCATGGGCCTGGCGTGGCGACGCGGGCGACGCACAGCACGGCCTGGTTGGCGGGGCCCGGCACGAACCGACGCGGCACGCGGCCCTGGCGGGGTGAACGCCTGCAAGGTCACGCCAGGGCGAAGGCCTCGCCGTGCCCCTTCAACGCCGTGCCTACTACGCCAAGGCGCGCCAAGGCGCGGCAAGGTGAGGGGGGAGGCGGGGCGCGGCGGCAGCGGTCACCGCACTCTTCTTAGGCCCGGGATGTATTGGGTGCCGCGGCCGGCGCGAAGGCGCGAAGCAGCAGCGGTGGAGTTGGTTGCCCGTTGTGTTTACATCGCCTGGTGGGGAGGCGCGGGGAAGGCGGGAAGGGCGTAGCCCCGTGCCCGCCTGCCTGGACGGCAACCTAACCAAACACGCATGTGCGCGCCATGGCTGCCGCCGTCAGCGCGGTGCGGTGCGCGCGGTGCGCGTGTTGGACGGGACGCGGTGCGGCAAAGCGCGACGCCGGCTGGTGGGCGCGACTCGGCGCGGCTCACCACGTCCCGGCGCGGTTCGGCGTTTGGTTGGTCCTTTGGGGTCGCGACGCGGTACGTCGCGCCGCTTCGCCGCTTCGGGCCGCGCTGCCGCTGCGTTCGGCTCGGCCTCGGGTGCCGCCGTACCGCCTTGCTGCTGTTCGGCCGCCGCGACGCGCCGCGCCGCGCCTCGCTTCTTGGCGCGCCACGCCGCAGCCGGGGTCCCTAGCGCTCGGCTCTAGCGGCCAGGCTGGCCAGGCGCAGGCGCGGAGGGGGAGGGGGGAGAGGGGTGGATCGGGCATGCAGCCCAAGGCATGGCACTGGCGGCTGGCGCGGCGCGGCCGCGGCGTGCACTGCCAGTGCCACGGAGCCCCGTCACGTGGCGTGACGCGTCGCATCGCCTCGTCGTGTCGCCGTGACGAGTCGACCCGCCAGCGAGGCGGGCACAGCGCGCCGAGCCTGCCGAGCCGGGTCGCGCGAGTGTGTGTTTTGGTGTGATATGATGCGGGCGTCGACGCCGCGGTCCACGGCGACCGGCATGGGCGTGTGCCCTGTGCGATAGGTTCGCCTACACGGGCTCCTCAGGGGGACCCGCGAGGTCCGCGAGGCCCGCGCAACGCGTCGAGAGGCACGGAGCAGGCCAAACAGGCCGCTCGGGCGAAACACGCCAACATGGTGGCGCGGTACTTGGGGGGCCCCGGCGCGCACCCTGGCGGTGGACACTCCGCCGCAGGGCCCGCAGGGGGTCGCGGCCACCACACGGCGCAGGCCGTGAGCTGCTACTTGCCGTTGCACGCGCCGCAACAGCCGCGGCCCCAACAGGCGCACCAGCAGCACGGCCAGCATGGCCAGCACGCCCACCCGGCTGCTCACGCCCAGCAGCACCACGGACAGCAGCAGCACCACCGTCACCAGCAACAGCCGGCCTCGCAGCAGCAGCCGTTTCAGCTGCGCCTCCTCGCCAACGGGCCCGGAAGTGAGTCGTTGAGTGCGGGACTCTGGCGCGCGGACTGTAGCGCGCTGTGGCGGCGGGGGCCTGCCCTGGGCCTGCACAGCCACCCCGTCAGGACCGTCAGGACCGTCAGGGAGCCGACGCTGCAGCCTGGCCGGCCACCGCGAGGCCGCGACCTGACACCGCGCGAGGTGGCCGTCGTGACCTTGCGCCGCACCTCGAATGTATGGCGGGGCGGGGCCAAGGCGGGGCGAGCTCGGCGGCCCGGGCGGCCCGGCGCCAACGTAAACAGTGGACTCGACGCGACGGCAGGCACCATCTGCAGCCTCGCTGACACTAGCACGTGTGCTGGAGACTCGCTATCATTGGCGCTCTACTTGTTGGACAGGATGTGTCCCGCTCGTCACGCCCTTTGTGGCTTGCTCGCTCTCATCTTGTCTTGTCGGTGTCTGGTGGCGTGTGACAGCGAGCCGGCCGCGGGGCGGGGCGGGGCGCTCGGAGGGTGGTGCGGGCGGGGTCCTGGCCGCGGGGCGACGCGCTAGACGCGCCAACTGGAAGACAAAGCCCAGGGGGTGGAGCGGAGCAGAGCGGGGCGGTTTGAGCCAATGCCTGGCTGCGCGCTTCGCCTGCTTCGCGCCTCGCCCGGTGCACGCGCTTTGCGGCGCTTTGCGCTGTGGGGGTGGCCGCCGAGGCCGTCTTGGTCTTCCCGCGCCGCACGGACCCTGCCTCTGCCTTTCTGCGCACCGGCCGCCCTCCCCTTGCCAGCGGATGTATGGGGCGCTCTGCAGTCGACCGATTCCGCAATGCGTTGCGTCGCTGTCTCTCTCGCGCTGGAACGGAACGCCCCATGAGTGCGAGAGGCGGCGCGGCGACGGCCATCCAGTGGGGAACGTCGCGGGAATCCCCCGTGGACCCGCCAAGGGCCCCGCCGAAGACCGACGGCCGGGGTGTCGGATTTTTCGACGCTCGCCCGGGATAGCAATGCTCCGCAATGGTGGCGAGTACCCCCGCCCCTGTGGCCCCTGTGGGTGCAACGGGACGGGGACCGCTCCCTTCTGGGCCATGAGGGCCATGGCGTCTCGCACGTGTTGCAGTGGTGGCCGCTTACGAAGGGGGTGGCGGCATCGGTTGGGTTGCCCCGGTCAATAATGTGCACCGACTTGAATTTGCCAAGGCGGACAGCCGCACAGTGGGCCAGAAGACCGGTTTAAGGCTGGACGCTCAACGAACGGCTCTGTCAAGCATGAGCCTCTCACTGTTGGCCAAAACTCTAGACGCGTTTTGAGCTCCAGAGTCGCTAAACAGGACTCGAACCGAACGTGCGACCCCATCAATGGATTCCTCGTTCGGAGAGCAATCCATTGGTGGGGTCACACGTTCGGTTCGAGTCTCATTTAGCGACTCCAGAGCTCAAAACACGTCTAGAGTTTTGGCCGCCTCCACCGGTCTTCTGGCCCACTGTGCGGTGTGCGCCCAGCCTGCCCAGCCACTTCCCCACCATGCCCAGGCCCTTCGGCGCTGGAGAGGCCCAAGGGCCCCGGGGCGGGACGGGACAGGGGCCGTCCGCGACCCTCGCCGTGCTCGACGCCAAGGGCGTTCTCGGGGGCGGTGCATCACGGTGCATCCCTCGAGCCGACGACACCCCCGTCCCCCGATTCTGCAATTAGCGCATGGGCCGGGCCGGGCTGGGCCGGGCTGTGCAGCCGCATGGCGCTGTGCTCGGTGTGCTCGTTGCGCGGCCTTGACCCACTGTGCCGCTGCGCTGCGCTAGCTGCGCCCCACCACGCCGCAGCTGCACCGCACTGCTGCTGCAACAGCTGCTGCAGGCCCTCCGCTGCCACGCCCCGCCAGCCCCGCCAGTGGCGTAGGGCGTGGGCACTGCGTGTGCCGCGTGGGCGGGGAGGGCAACGTCTCCGTTTGGCCGCCCTGGCCGGCCCCGCGGACTGTACTGTACATTCGCTCAGACCTGAGCCAGCGGCGACCCTTTGCTATGCAGGCCTTTTCTTGGTGCCATCATGAGTGTGGCAAACAGCCTCCAAACAACGAGCGAAACAAAGGGTCGAACCCTTATAACGCACCGGAACAGCACTCCGACAATGAGGCCCCCGGTGGGGTTCGGCTGTTTAACTTTTCCTTTGGTCGCCGCTGGCTCAGGTCTGAGCGAATGCACAGTATAGTTTGGCTCAGTCAAAGTTGGCGGGTCTCATTGTCTGAGTGCTAACTGCGCCCGTTCCGGTCATCATAAGGGTTCGATCCCTTTGTAAGACGCAGGTTCCGGCGCATCTTGGGGACTGTTTGCGACACTCATAATGTCACACAGAATAGGCCGGCCCGCCAACTTTGCCTGAACCAACTATACGAGCACGGAGTGTGCACGATCGGCGCCGTCGCATGCGGACGCTGATGCCGCCACCATCTGCGCGAGGCCGCGGCAGGGCCGGCACGTTATGCGCGTGGTATGCGAAGCAACGCGAAGCCCTTCCGGCCGGCAAGAGGCTGAGCGCTGCGCTTGCTGCGCTACGCCGCTGCCTACACGGCCTGCCCGCCGCAGTTGCCGCTCCTCGGGTGGGCGCGGCTCCGCGCTCGGCTCGATCCGCACTGGGCTCGCCTGCCACACTGGAAGCGCTGGAAGCAGGCTGCAGGGAAGCCGACCTAGATAACTCCGCGGGTAGAGTGTGGCGTTCCATCCGATCCGAATGTCCTGCGGAGGGAGATGGGCTGGCCCAAGGGCCTCACGAGCTCCTCCAAGTTGCAAGGCGGCCACGTGACGCGCCGAGCCGCGAACACGGTGACGACGCCCGCCGCCTCGCGGGCCTCGCGTCGTGTGTCGCCTTACGTCGCCTTGGCGCGGGGAATTTCATTTGGATGGCACACAGTGGGCCAGAAGACAGGTGGGGGCGGCCAAAACTCTGGACGCGTTTTGAGCTCCAGAGTCGCTAAACAGGACTCGAACGGAACGTGTGACCCCACCAATGGGTTCCTCGTTCGGAGAGCAATCCATTGGTGGGGTCACACGTTCGGTTCGAGCCCCAGTTAGCGACTCTGGAGCTCTGAACGCGTCTAGAGTTTTGGCCGCCGCCACCGGTCTTCTGGCCCACTGTGTGGCGGCTGGATTCCACACGATGGCCGTCCGTGTCGAGCCTGGCGGCCTGGCGTGGCACGGTTGCCGTCGGCACCACACTGCTGAATGGCGGACGAAGGCACGACGGCCACGTGGGACGCACGTGGCCGCGCGCTGCGCGTTCGCGTGCAGGCTGGCCGATGATGGCTGATCGCGCTGGTCCACTGTCGCGCTGTCGCCGCGGCCCGGAAAAGGTGTGCCGAATGTCGGGCTCCAGATGCGGCGTGTGCGTGCACTGGTGCACAGTGTGGGCGTTGCGTGCGCGCCGCGCTGGATTCGGGGGCCGCGCGGGCCCCCTTTTTATTTGAGTTAGGGTTTTTTGGCTTCCGCTCTTGTTGTGGGTTTTGGGGGCTCGGCGCGGTTCTGCCGCTGCGCTCTCGGATCACGCCAAGTCACGCGGCGAGGCGTGGCGAGGCGGGCGCGGCACGGCCAGAGGCACGGCGGCGGCGTGCGCTATGGTGGCCCCGCGTCGCTCCGCGTTGCCGGCTCACCCACGGCCGTGTTGCGGCGGCGTTGCCAGGCTGCGATCAGCTGACCATCGATCGCCCCACCTTCGTCCTCCGCCGCGCCCGCCGCGCCCCGCTCCGGGAGGGAGGTTTGCTTGGTCCTGGGGTCCTGGGTGCACCGCGCCCCGCCGCCGCGCCCCGCCCCGGCTCGGCACCCCCGTCCCCCGCGAGTCTTTGTGACGGCTGTGCGCGCCAAGCGAGCCAGGCGGGAAGGAACACGGGGATGAAGTAGGGGCGCGGGGAACGGGCGGGGCGCGCAGGGCGGGCGGCACCCCTTGGAAAGAGCGCGCCTGCACCGCGGCCTCCTCTTGACCTCCTTCTTGCCGTGCTGCACAGTGTGCTGCATGGGCAGAAAACAGAAGCCCGACCAGAGTCCACGACGGGGCTCAAACTTACCCCTCACCTTTTCCTGGACGGGGTACTTTGGCGGCTCGGCCGTGGTGTCCGAAGGGCTTTTCGGCGGGGAGGAGGGGGCCGCCCTGGCCGCCCTGGCCCTGTGGGTGGTGGCGGCGCGGCGTGGCAGCGTGGCTTGGCGCCGCGTCCTACTTTCGGCCCTGCAGCCTCCGTCGGGGCGGGGCGGCTCGGGCGGGGCGGACTGGAGCGCCCTTGTCCCATTTCGCCGTGGGCTTCCCTACCCTACCCAACCTACCCGCTGGCCGGGCTGCAGGCGAGCCCGCCTTCCTGATCGATGCCAGCCCCTATTTAGGCCCCTCCCATCTTTATCTCGTTATGTCCTTCGTTTTGGCCTGGATGTTGATGGGGTGCAATGCTGCGCAATGCAGTGTACGACGCTGCGGTGTGTGCCACCCTCGTCGCGGCCTGCTGCAGTCCGATTCCGAGAGTCGTTTTCGTCGCCCTGTCTCTCGCACTCATGGGGCGTGCCGTGTAGGTGCGAGAGAGACAGAGCGACGAAACCGACTCTCGGAATCAGGCTGCTGGGCGTCCGACCTGCGCGGTCGGCGTGGGGGGCTTGTGCTTCTGGCAGTCCGTTTGATGTGATGGTGCTGATTGGGCTTTGGCCCGGCTTGGCCGGGTTCGCGTTTTGCTGGGGGCTTGGGTGATGCTCAGAGGGGTGTGGCGGCCACGCGCCCACGCCCTGGCGGTCTCCTTGTTGTTGATGGGGTTTGTTTCGTCTGGTGGCGGTTTGGCTGACTCAGCCCGGGTGTACCGGTGCGGGGCGCGACGGGGATGGCGCTCCGCCGAAATCCAGGCGCAGGTTGAACACCCCCTGAGCCGAGTTCTCCCTGTGCAGGAATCTGCAGGCAACTGCCATTTTAACTGCCATTGCATTGATGTCAGGAGGGTCGCCTAGCTCGTCTTGTCAAGTCAGCCAATGGCCTAGTTTGCAGAGCTGTCCGGGCAGGCAGGTCCCTCAAAGCGCGAGCAGGCTTAGGCAACCCCGCAATCGCCAAACGCACGGTGGAGCATTCGGCTAGGCTGACAGGTGGATGTGGCCGCAGAGTGTGCGACAGTGGCTAATGACGTGTTGTCCTTGTGTTCCAGGAGGCGGTGATGTGTACCACGTGACTTCCACCTACCCGCCGCAAGGTGGCGGCGGTCCCAGTGGCGGTCCCAGCGGCGGCCCTCAGATGCGTGTCGGTATCAACGCCATGGGCATGCCCGTGCAGGGCGTGCAGGGCGTACAGGGCGCCCAGCAGCAGGGCAGCCACCCTGGCCACGCCGGAGGCCCCGCGCCCACCTCGACGCCCCCGCAGCCCGACATGAGCAAGAGCCTGCACCTGCAAGGACAGGGCCAGATCCAGGGGAGCATGATCCCCTTCCAGGTGCAGAATGCGTCGCGGCAGACGACACAGGTGGGTACACTGCCGTCATGGCCGGGGACAACCGGGTGGGTGGGCCGTAAGCCTGGTGAGAGTGGGTCATTCTTCCGGTCCGAAATTCAGGGCGCTGATTGGAAACTCTCGGGGCAGCTTTGCGCCGCGTCCTGGTCTTGCTAGTGCGCCCCGGTCGAGCTTGCTGCTTGCACGGCGACCTAGGAGGCCTCGGAGGCCAAGGGTATTAGTGCAGGTCCTCAACAGTGTGCCAGTGTGCAAGGGGAGCTGATCGATCGGGGTGTTTGTTGTTTACGCCGTGTGGTGTCATGCACGCAAGGCCAGCCAGGACCCGTCCCTGGTACATAGTTTGGCAAAGAAGCTGGGAAGGGTGTGGTTGGATGAGAGGCACAGGCTTCTTCACAATAAATTTTCATCTCAGTTGACTTGATGTTGTCGTTTTATGTCTAATTTGTTCATTTTCTTTTGCAGAATTATAATTTTCAACCTAGAACCACAGCTACCCGCATGCCAAATAGGAATCAGCAAGCCTTTTATCCCAATATGGCTAACAGTCAGCAACTTGTAGCAGGACAGGTAAGTGATTGTGAACTACTTTAACATTGCCTTCTAATTTTGGTTGAAAACTCGCTTCAATTGAATGTGTTCTTTTTACAGCATTACGGCATAATGCCTAATTTGGTAATGGTAAGCTTCAAAAAATTCTTCACTTCAAATATTTTTGTTTTCTTTTTGTGCACTTCTTTGGTAACGTTTATTTTTGTGTTTCAGTACCCCCGCGGTGCCGGTATGAACTCTGCTGGTCACCAGCCCACATTGGGATACCCCAACCAGCAACAGCAATATTATATTCCAACAAACATGCCTGGAGCAGGAGGTTAGTCAGTCTGCCTGAGATGTTTGGTGTATTTACAGCCAATTAAAGTATCATTGATATAATTTGCCCTTTGTATTTTCAGGACTGTTTTATGCTACTCCTATGATTCGGACTGCTCCTTCAGGTGTAAATATTTCAGGCCCTCCTCAAACTCAGCAAAGTCTACAGACTGCGGCTCCTCATGGGCCTGTACAAACTCCAAATATACCTGTTTCTGGGGCCATCATGCCCATTGTCTCACCTTCAGCCCCATCTGGTATGTTTTCGCCCATTGCTCTTGTTTGTATGATTCAGAAGTAATGCGGCGGGCTTGAAATAATGTTATGTGCCCTTCTGCTTAGGTGGCAATGCTGTTCCCCCTGCGCAACCAAAGCGTAGAAAACATGCTTTGATCATTGTCGACCCCAACAGCGGTAAAGACGTTGTTGAAGAAATGGAAAAAGAAGCATCAGCCTCTGGTAGTTCGAGTAATCGAGAAACTCCACAACCGGTAAGTGTGACACTACGGAATCTTTCTTAACTTGATTTATGCATCAACAAAGTCAACATCTTTATTGGGTCACTTGGTTCCCTCTTTTGCTCTGTTTTTAAGCCTGTTTTGTTCTGCAGGAGTCATCAGCTGCTACAAATCACAATGTCGCAGCTGAATTTGCTGAGAGAGTAGGAAAGGCTGCCAGTGAAGACTCGACGCCGTCAGCACCGACTCAGCCCCCGGACCTGTCCCAGAACATGGGCAGCGTGAACGGACCCGCCGCCAGCCCGGCAGAGGCAGCCCCTGACGCAACTCTTAGTCAAAGCAGTTATTTAGAAGATAGCTCTAGCATAGGCAATACGTGGAACAAGGGCGGCCACAAGGGCCCGGGGGCTGGCCCCGTCCCTGTCCCTGTGGAAGACGGCACGCCCGTGTTCTTGTACTCACCTGTGATACCACATAATTTTAGTGCCAAGTCTATTGAAGAAATGTACCCCAGCTCCAATGTGTCTATTGTGATGCACCATTCAAGCATGGTGCCTACACGACCAGCCCAGCTGGCCAACTCATCCCTGGCGCTCTCCGAGACAACGCCAGTTGTTAGTGCCAACATCAATGCGCCAAGTGTTGAAGTGTACAGGTGAGATACAGTATTGCTATTTTCAGCATATTGTTAAGTCGTTTATTATTTTAAACTTTATGGCTTAATCTCTACAGTTGTACTGTGTGCCCATCTGTTCTCTCCATTTAAACTTCGCTTTAATTCTTTTCCAGAGGTAGAAACGCTCAGCAATCGCCTTCTGGCAACACTGGTACCCACCCATCACCCCAGAGACGGAAAAGACAAGAAAATGCTGCTGCTGTTTCAAGCAGTAATGCATCAACTACACCTAGTGCATCAAGCACAGAGAGTCCGAGGTGAGATTCATACCTATTCTTATCATCAGTTTTGATGAAGCTGCTGATGCTGAGTTCAGCAGTTACACAGCAGTATTCCTTATCAAAGGAATCTTTCCATGTTGCAACATTTTTGTCGCATTGTTCTCCCTTATCTCTGTATTAATACTCCCTCCATGACTCAAATTTAAGAATGGGCTTAAAAAATTGGAAATTGCATTTTTAATTGAGTCGGCAGTGCCTGTCAGTTAATGCATGTTGTTAGAATTGGTCCCTACCCTTATTGAAACCGTATGTGTGTGTTTGTAGAGTGTACTGCGTGCTGGTTTCTGATGCTCCCCTTCCTCGTCTCTTTGCAGTCATGTCGCTGAAGCCAAGAAGAAGGGCAGTCCCACACCTGCTGGAGGCGCTCAGAGTGTAGGGCCTGCCAAGGCGCAGCCTGGAGCCGTCCAGAAGGACGCCAAGGGCGGCAAGGGCGCCAAGGCGCCTGCCCCCAAGGACGCCCCTAAGGAGGTGCTGAAGGACGCCCCCAAGGAGGCCGACAAGACTCCCCTGGTGGAGCCCGCCAAAGGCAAGAGCCCCCCTGCGTCGCAGGCGACGACCCCCGCGGCCGCCAAACCCGCCGCCGCCGCCGCCCCTGCAGCACCCGCAGCGGCACCCGCCGGGGCGTCGACGCCGGCCCCAGCCGCTGCCGACGCCAAGGCCGACAAGGCCAGCAAGGCGACGCCGACGCCCAAGCCGGCCGTGCCGGAGCCCGCAGCCGAGTCAGAGGGTGAGTGGCAATCTGCATGACTGGGCCTGGGTGATGCCGCGTTCTCGTCTACTTGGCCCTGCCAGAGGGGAGGGCAAATGTTTTGCCACGCCGGCGGCCTCCTCCGCCCGCTCTGGCTGCCTGATAGGGGTGGCGGCGGGCGGTCCACCCCTGGCCAGGATGGACACCAGGAAGTCCCCGCGGCGTTAGCTTCGCCCTGCTGGCGCCCTGGCGCTGGCCAACGCCCTAGTCCCCCTCCTCCTGCACTCTCGCACCGGGACGGCCGGGACGGCGCCAGCGCCAAGGCCGGGGGGAGCCTGTACGGGCGCGGGCTGTACAGCCTGTACACACGGTTGAGCAATCTGGGAACATTGCAGTGTGTGGGCGGACTTGTGGAGTAGTACAGTGTGGACACGGGAACGGAACGGAACGGGGGTAGTAAAGTCGCGGCCCGTCGCGCTCGCCCCCTCGCCGTGACTCATGCTCCCCACGTCGCCCTTCCCCTCTTTGTGCATAACTTTTGCGCCGGGTGGACTGGGCGGGCTGCGTCCGAAACGACAAGGAAATTGAATGGTTTTCCTCTCGGACAAGGAGGAGAGGAGAGGAGAGGGAGGGGGGATGGGAATCACCTGTCGCAGATTCGTCTGTCTTCGTCGCACTCGTGACAAGGGAGCGAACGGATGAGCCAATGAAGGCGGTGCACTCCTTCCCCTCCCTCCCCCTTCCCCCCTTCCCCTCCCCGCCTCGAGGAAGACCTCCCCCCCCTTCCCCTCCCCCCTGCCGGTGAAATGGGGCTGTGGTCTGCTCGTGTTGCCGCAGTGCACAGAGGCTCGCCTCTTCGCCGGTCGCATCGCGCAGCATCGCGCAGTTGGAGTGGAGGGGTTCGGCCGCGCCTCCTTCCCCTCGCGCGGGGGCGACGCTTGCTTCCTTTTAATTTATTTATTTATTTGTTGTTGTGAAATAGTTTTAAATTGTTGTTATCTGAAGCGGCGTTGTCTCTGCTGCGGTCGCGCGCGCAGGGACCGTGTGTGACGATGGCCGTGTTGTGTGGGCCTTTTAACGTGTTGTGATAGTTGTTTGGAACTCACCTGCGCCTCGCGCGCGCGTGTGTGTGTGTGTGTGTGTGTGTGTGATATGCATCGTCTGTGATACAAGCCCCCCTGTAAACGTGCTGTGATACTTCAAGATGGGATGCAAGAGAAAAAAGGGTGCGTACTGGTGGCTTCGGTTTATTTTGGTGGTGTGGCGTCTCGCCGCGTCGCCGCCTGCGTGTGTGCGGTGTCCCCGTGCCAAACGGCATGTGCGTGCCATGCCCGGCCATGCCCGCGTTCCTCGCGTCGCATGCCGCAAAGGGCAGGCGAGGCAGGCAGCACCAGACTTGAAGCGCTCTGTTTGTACTTTGGTTCAACTCGCTATTTGATTGCCTTTGCCGAGCGTCGCTGGCTTGGTGGCGCTCGGCGAGGCGCTCGGGGTTGGACGGCGGCCGTCTCTTGATTATGTGCTCCGCCTCTAGGTAGTTTCGGTTCGGCCAAGTCCGCCGCCACCCATTTTTACGTTTCAATGTTGTGCTTCTTTTTTTTGTTTCGCCGGTGGGGCGCGGCGCTCATTTGACTTGGATGGGTGGGCCGCGCAGACAGTGTCCTCCCTGACCTTGATGACATGCAAGGCGCCTCGGGAAGGGTTTTGGGTTCGAGCCGGCCGCCTGGCACCGCCTGGCCGGTGGCGCTGCTGCTGCTGTTTGGCGACGCGGTGTGGCCGTTGGGCTGTGCCGGGTGTGGCCCTTGCTTCCTCTTGGCCGTGGCGGCGGCACGGCGGCGTGGCAGCCGGTCTAGTGATGGGCCGCCCCGCCGCCGGTTCGTTGGTTCGGACCGTTTTGTCGGGCGTGTCGGGCCGCGGGACGGCCGGCTGGGGTTGTGGGGGCGCCGTATTTATAGCTAGCCGACCCACTGCGCCCCGCGGAGCGCCACCGCGGCCACCGCGCCGCGGACACGGCATTCGGCGAGCCGGGGCGGGCCGGGGCCCTCCGCGGCGTGATGGGGTGGGTGGGGGGGATAAGAGATCCACCCCCGCTATTTCTGTTGGCCAGATTGAGTGGCGGAGCCGTCGTGTGGCAGGCCGGCTTGTTGGCGGGGTGATAGCGGGGCAGCGCGTGCATTCCGGCGAGCTCGCGCGCGCTGCTGTGCCGGTGGGCTGGTCTGGCCCGCCGATCCGCGGATAGTACGCTAGTACAAACTAGATAGGGAGGGGAGGGGGGAGGGTCTACGCCCCCGTCTGCCTCATCGCTATTTTCCTCAACCTGTGTGGGCGTTTTAGCCGGGTGGTGATGAACGGGTCGGTGTCGGGATTAGCGACTCGGTAACGCAATTAGTCCCTTCGATTGAGGCGCGGTGATCGTCCGCGATGAAGGGGCCCCGATTGTCGTGTCTCGCGTCGCTCGCTCGAGTGTGTCCGGCTCTGTCGCGTGGGGGGGCTGGGGCGTGGCTGGGGCGCGGTCCTAGGTGTGCACTGTTTCGTACGTTCCCGCGTTGGGTGCGTTGACACGTTGGTCGGATTTGCCCGAGGGGTGAATCACTCAGCGTTCTGGTGTACACATGAGTACATGAGTACGGGTGAGTACACCTTGCTTTACTCACAAATTTCATAATTTCAAACGTTTTAAGGCTTTATTTAGCGTTTTTAACGGCACTCAACGTTAAATCGGTCGAAAAACTAGAGAATTTCACCCTTTTAGAATTTGTGAGCACACTGAGTACGGGCAAATTTGTACACATGAGTGCACTAGTGATTCACCCCTCGGATTTGCCAACACCGGACACGATTCTGAAGCATTATGGTCTATACTCTGACCAGAAAACGAAGAGCCCTGGGTCCTCGCGGTCGAGGACTACCTGCAATGCTAAGGCGGCAGAGGCAGGGTCGACATGAGCCCCGTCCCGATTGAGCCCCGATGACTTGAGCCCCGGCAGAGCCCCGGCCGAGCCCGACTCGAGCCCCGACTTGAGCCCCGACTGAGCCCCGATGGCCAGAGCCCCGACCTGAGCCCGTTTTGAGCCCCAACCTAAGCCCCGTTTGAGCCCCATTTGAGCCCCGCGCCAAAAAGTTGCAATATCTTCACTAAAAAAGTTCAAAAATGGAAGTTTTTTGGCGTGGGGCTCAAGTGGGGCTCAAACGGGGCTCAGGTCGGGGCTCGAACCGGGCTCAGGTCGGGGCTCTGGCCATCGGGGCTCAGTCGGGGCTCGAGTCGGGGCTCAAGTCGGGCTCAAACGGGGCTCTGGCCGGGGCTCAGGTCATCCGGGCTCAATCGGGATGGGGCTCATGTCGACCCTGCCGCGGCAGATGCCGTAAACCGCGAAGAACTCAGGGCTCTTCGTTTTCTGGTCAGAGTATATGTTCGGAACGTTGGCCGCCTCCACGGACGGGAGGGACGGGAGATGAGACACCGTGGCCGCCTCCCATCGAGGCTTGCGCTGTGCCGTCCGACGCTACACCGCGACTCCGTTCTTCGGCCGGAACGTGGGGCGGGCGGAGGGCGGCCAGGCGGACGGACGGACGTGGGCCCCGCAGCCCCGCAGCGCGGGACGGCCTGACGCACAGACAGTGTGGCAGGAAAGTCGCCCACCGCGATGTGTGCAGGCTGCGCCGGCCGGGCTGACGCGGGCTGACGTCACGGCGCGCGAGAGGGACCACACCGAACACGGCCCACCGGCCGAACGGGCCGACGGACGGTCAGACAGTGCATGCCTTGATGCGGCCGGCGAGACGCTGGCTTGCCCGGCCCGGCCCCGCACAGTGGGCCAGAAGAACGGTGGAGCGGCTAAAACTCTAGACGGGTTTTGAGCTCCAGAGTCTCTAAATGGGCCTCGAACCGAACACTGCAGGAAATAACCACAACAAAAGTACACAAATTTCTGGCAATTTTTTTATCAGGTTTTTATTGTACTTTCAAAGTACAACAATTGTTGTACAAAGTACAATGGAACTGGCATGACGAGTGCTGGGCAGTCCCGGCCTCGTTGTGGTTTGTACAATTCTCGTTGTACTTTCTACAATCCCTGTTGTACTTTCATTGTACAGTTTTTGTTGTACATTTGTTGTACTATTCACACTTTTTCTTGCAGTGAACGTGTGACCCCACCAATGGATTGCTCTCCGAACGAGGAATCCGTTGGTGGGGTCACACGTTCGGTTCGAGTCCCATTTAGCGACTCTGGAGCTCAAAACGCGTCTAGAGTTTTGGCCGCCTCCACCGGTCTTCTGGCCCACTGTGCCCGCCCGGCCTCACTCGGGCCTGGGTGCCGGCCGCGCCGGCCGCACCTGGCGTGTATGCCCCACTTTATTGCAATTTGGCGGCTCTGCTTGTCCCGAGGCGGCGCACGGCGCACGCGGCGCGGGGGTGAAGGGCGTCGGAGGCGTGCGTCACTGCTGCCCAGTCCGGCCCAGCCCCGCCCAGCCCCGCCCCGCCCCGCCCCGCCCCGCCCCGCCCGGGATCTCGTACTTGATTGGGAATGCAGATGCACGACGGGCCACGCCACGTGTGACTGCCGTGGGTGCCGGGCTGGGCGTGCCGGCGGCGTGGCGGCGCTCGGTGCGCCGGCCCGCCGGTGGTCTTGGTCTGGATTCGCCGGCTGCCCTCCCTCTGCGTCCTGGCGGTGAATGCGCGCCGCGGCCCCGCGGCTTGCCGTCAGAGAAAGTTTGGCAGTCCGCGGGGCCGTGGTGGCGGGCGTGGCGGCGTGGCGGCGCTTGACGCGAGGCCCCGCCGCCGCCCGGCCTCGCGACCAGCTGGTGATGCCGGCTGCTGCGCTGCTGCGTGAGGCGAGTGTGTGCTCTGCGAATGATGGAGCCAATTTAAAACCGCGACGCGAGATGGCCGAGACAATGCTGCTGATGGCGGTCCGGTTCGGTTCTGCTCGCGCGGTGGTTTTCCGCCCCTGCTGCTCCGATATAGAGGTGTTTTTATTTTTTCTGACGTCAATTAGAATCGCACGCTGGTTCGCGTTGCGTGTGGCTCTGCGCCCTCGGGTGTGACGGCGGCGCCTTGCCTCGCCCTGCCCGCCGGCCGGCCAGTCGGTGCAGCGTGGTGTTCGATGCCTTGCGCGTGGATGTACGGCAACGTGGATTTGGAGGCCTACTTCGGTCGTTTTCTTGCCCGTCGCATCGCTTGCCGTTTACGAGATGGACCTTTGAGTTGCGGGCGCCGTTCGTTAGGGGGGGGGGCGTCTTTAAGTTGGGTGGGATTAATTGTCGTTTTCGGCGGCCTGTCTTTCCCGCGGAGCTTTCTCAGCACTCATGCCGTCTTCGCTGTGCTACTCGCTGATAACGCGCTTCGCCATGTTCGCCGTTACGTAATTCGCGGACGTGCCCCGAGAGGGATGAATGGAACCCGCTTGCCTATCCGATGCCGCCGCCCCGCCGCCTCGGAGGAGAAAGTGAAGGTTAGCGACGCCTTTCCCCTTCCCGAGTTGAAGTCTCCGTCGTGGACTGCGGCGGCATGGGTGGTGCGGCGCACGCGGCCGTCGGTCGCGGATTTGGTCTCCCGACTGGTGTCTTGGGGGGGAAGGAAGGTCAGGACATCTGATAGTGCCGCCCCGCCCGGTTCAGGGAACCCTCTCGCCTTATCGTGACCGCGACCCCCGCCAAGGGCTGGCCGACCGTCTCTCTCGCACTGGCGGTGCGTCGCGTGTGGGTGCGAGAGAGAGAGAGAGCGGCGCGCTGTGCGGAGTGGGTGTGCTTCGAGTTGGCGGCGGTGTGTCCTCGATAACTGTCGCGACGGCTCGCCGGCTCGCGGCCCTGCGTGCGGTGCGGCGGCCCTTGCCACTGCGGCGGCGGGCCGGGCGAAGGGCAATCTTATCTGGCACTAGAGCCTCTTGCGAGATGGAGATGCAATTAGCTCCTGGCAAGTCAGGCTGCAGCGTGCCGTCGGCGTGCCGTGGCGCGGCCCGGGGGGGCTAGGCGCCACCCAGAGACTGTTTGAATAATCCGCGTGCCTCGCCGCCTGCTCCGCGTGTCGTTGCGCGCCTCGCATCGGGTGGGTGTCGCCGCGTCGCTCTGGTGTCGCTGGCGGCCCGCGGTGCCGCAGTCGCGGTGCCGCGGTGGGAAGGGGTGTGGGAGTGGCTGGGCCTGATTGCAGGGGAGCTGCCGCCTGCCGCCCGAGGAGATGTTTCGTCGCCGTCTCTGTCGCACCCCTCGAGCGCGAGAGACGGTGACGAAACGATCCTTTTGAATCGGGCGGCTGCCGCGGCGGCGTGCTCAGGTGAGCGTCGACTCGCCGCCGGGCTGTGGCGGGCTGTTGCTGAGCGAGGCGTGATGGCGCGCCGCGGGCTGCGGGCTCCGTATACCGCACTCGCGGGGTGCTTGGCAGGGCGTTCCAGTCGCCACCGGCGCCTCTTTTTGCGACGGCCGAGAAGGGCCCAGCCCAAACGCGTAGCGGAATGTAGCGGCATGCCGTCCGTCCCGTCCGCGGCGGCCGCGGTGCTGTCTGCGCGCTGGCTCGGCTGTTCCTCGCCCACATGGTGGAGGGGGGCTCCCCCCTTCTCCGCTCCCCGACGTCCCCGTCCGGTGCCGGCAAGGAAGGGAAATGGAGGCAACTAGGAGTCGCTGTCCTCTTGGAGCCGAAGCGGCCAAGCCGTCGCGCCGTCGCGGCCCGAGCCTATCCCGACGTTGCCGCCGACGTGCTCTGCGCGTTCGGGGGGCCTCTGCCGGCCTTTGCGCTGCGTTCGGGGCCTTCGGGGCGCCGGTCCGCGGCGAGCCGCGCCAGTCGGCTGCCACCGCACCGCGAAGAGAGTCGGGTTTGAGCCGCCAGCCGCACGCAGCGGCCCGTGTACGACGAGGCTCGGACGAGCTGATCAGGCCGTGTGGTGGTGTGCACGTGGCGCAGACGGAAACGGGGACCTTCGCCTGGTCGCGGTGCGTCGCGCTGCTCGCTCGCGTCTCTGCTGCACTGCTGGTGCACCGCGAGTGCGGCATGCGTGTGTGACCTGGTGGCACGGCGACGTGTCGCCGCGGTGCCCTTGGAGGATGTGTGTCTAGTCCGGTACGTACTCGGGCCCAGCCGCGTGTTGCTAGGGAGAGAGGCCTCCCGGTGGGACAGTGGGGCCGCGGGGGCGCCGCCGCGCCTCTGCCTCGTCGGGCCGTTGGAGACTAACAGCTGTTGGGGGCAGGCATCCGCCCGGCAGGCGGCGACCCTGGATGGCGTGTTCGGCAGCGTGCTGTGCTTGGCCCTGGACGTCGTCAAGTGCGTGGTGCGCGTGCAGGCGGTGCGGCGTGCGCTGCCGTGACCGGGCAGCGCCGCGTGGACGGCCAGGGTTGGGTTCGGCGGCGTGGTGGATAGGTTAGGTGGCACCGTGTGACCTCTGTGCACGCGGTGGGTAGCGGGAAAGGGGGAGGGGAGGGGGTACTGGGTTTCGGACGCCATCAAGGTATGGGGCCAGTGCGCGGTGAGTGCCGAGGTGAACGGCCTCACCTTGGCCTCGTGCACGCCGTGCACGGCTTGGTGGAGGACATGGTGATGGGCTGTCAGTAGCCGGCGTGAGCAGTGAGCAGCCCCTCTGCCACGTTGACAGTGTCATGTCGCGCCGCGCCGGCGTTCTGCCTGTCAAGTGAGCGTTGATTTTGCGGTGCCGCGGCTTCCGCGGCCGAGTGGCGGGTGTCAGCTGTAGGGCCGTGCTGGAGCCTCTACGGTGGAGTGTCCTGGTCCAGGCTGTCCAGGCCTCCTGGAGCAGGCGGCCATGCCGGCCCTACCCTGCCCCTGCCCTAGTTGGACCGCCGGCCGGCGGCCGGCCCAGGTGGCCCAGGTGGCCCAGGTGTTGAGCTTGGTGGCCTCGCGACTGGCAGAGCGGGGCAGGGCCCGCCTCGCCTCGCCAACACGCCGGCCTTGTCCAGTCCGGTGCGACTGGGCTGGGTCGGGTGGAGCGGCCTTCTTGGCATATGGGTATGCCTCAGACTCCAGGCAGGCTCCAGTGTCCAGCAAACCCAGGACCACGGTCTGGATCTCAGGGTTTGGCCGCGCCTTGGCGTTTTCTTTTTCTTCCTCTTTTTGTCGAGTCTGTGCAACAGGTCTTTGGCACTTGCCCGCGTCTGGGCGTGGCGGCGCGCGGCTACGCACTGGGCGGCGCCTCGCTGCGTGCCTATCCCGCTATTTATATGGCGAGCGCTATTTCCGACGCGTTTTGCTGTTCGTTCGGCAATTCAAGTGTGTGGACTCCACACTACTCGAGACTCGGGTGGCCCTGCGCCGTGCGGTGCATCCGGGGGAAGGGGTAGAGGACAAGGACGTCGAGGGTACAGTGCTGTGGTCTGACGAGGTGTTACTCTTGTGTTGCAGGTAAAGGCGCCGGTCGCCACAAGGGCAAGAAGATGCGCGACTCCAGCGCCAAGGGCGCTGAGAAGGAGGGCTCCGATGTGGAGGCTGCCTCTGAGGCAGCGCTCCCCGAGGAGAGCTGCTCCACCCCCGCGTCCACGCCCACGCCGTCCGAGGCGGCCGCGGGCAGCAGCCCCGTCGCCGCGACCACCCCTGAGGCGGAGGCGGAGGGCGACGCGGTGAGCAAGACAGCCTCGCCGACGCCGGCCGCCACCCCCGTGACCAGCGTCCCGGAACCCGCTGCCGCGGCTACCCCCGCTGAACCGGCGGAGGGGGCCGTGGCGCCCCAGACGGAGGACTTGCCGGAGGCTGTGGACGCAGCCACCCCCGCGACGACGGCACCGTCGGCCCCGACAGTGACGGTGCCGGCACCCACCCCGGCCGCCGTCAACCTGTTCGCCCCCTTCGCGCTGCCCTCGCCCCCGGTCATCATCCCCAGGGCCGTGAAGGAGGTCAAGGAGGTGGAGGTGGACGACAAGGTGTCGTCTCGCAACGACGAGAACGCCAAGGTGTCCAAGGATGATGCTGCCGGCGACAAGAAGAGGGCATATGCTCCAGGTAGGGCTCTTTCGCTTTGCTCTATTCGGGGTGCTTTGGAACTTGATAAAATTGGTTAACGTAAATTGTTTCTGCAGAACAATGGAGTCCTCTCAACCCTGACGGCAAGAAGAAATATGACCGCAGTTTCTTGATGGACTTGCGTAATGATCCTCAGTCGCAGAAGAAACCTGATGGTCTACCTGAAATGGAGGTAGTCCTCAAGGAAAGCAATAAGGTATCTATTCCACATTAACCTTTTAAATCACTTTTTTGTGAAATAAAACCTCAGATTTTATCTTACTTTTCTATTTATTTTTTTCAGAAGGCAATGCAGAATAACTTCAACAATGACTTTTCACCTGCTGGTTTTGTTCGGTCATCTGGTTCTCGAGGGGTAAGTTTCAGTTAGTTTCTAATTGTATTTGTTCCGCACTGTACAGCTACTTGTGATGTTTCAAACTAAAGTCTCTGAAATTTGTGAAGCCAATTCTTGACCTGACAGTGGTTGTACAGTGAATAAGAAAGTTTTGATGTATCCCTTTGAAATGTCGCTCTGAACCAAAGTGTCAGATTAAAATTATACAGCTTTTTAGTGACTAGTTACGTTTATGCTGTGAAGCTGATCAATTTAACTTAAGTCCTGTCCCTGTTGAAGTTGGGTTGCTTTCATGATGCCTTAAACTAAAGTCTCCGATTTGCATGAAGACAACTTGCTTATAACTGAATGTCTTGTCAACCCAACGCCCCCCCCCCCCCTCCCTTTTCTAACCCCGTTTTTTGCCTTTTATTATGCCTATGGCTGTAGCTAAAGAGTCTGACATTTGTTCAGTCAGTTTTTAACTGTGTGGCTATGCTACCAATTTTCAAAACGTGTGTTCTTATTTGCCTTTTATGATGTCTTAAACTAAAGTCTCTGATATGTGAAGACAGATTCTAACTGAAATGGTCAAAACTTCTCAATTGTCAAACTTATGTTTGCCGCATGTACACAATGCCTTTTAATGATGCCTGAAACTAAAGTCTCAGAATTTCTTTGAAGACCCATTTTATCTGAAGGGGGCTGTATTTTAGCTCTGGGTTAAGTGACACTATTCATATAGTATTGGTATCCAGTTTTTTCTGCACCTAAATGATGGTACACAATGAAAGTAGTGGACTGAGTTATCTGCTGACAAATTATTTACTGATTGGTGTTATTTAAAGCTGTTCCTCATTCTGTAGAAATTTTCCGTAGGGTATCTGCAGCAGTTTTAGCTGTTCAGCATATGGTTTTCTGCACCTAAATGATGGTACACAATGAAAGTAGTGGACTGACTGATCTGCTGATAAAGTATTTTCTGACTGGTGTTATTGGAAGCTAAGGTTTTCTCCCAAGTACCCTTTTTCTGTTAGGTACAGTTTTAGCTTTATAGGGTATCATTTTTTGCACCTGAATGATGGTACACAATGAAAGTAGTGGACTGACTGATCTGCTGAGAAACTTTTTACTGACCGGTGTTATTTGAAGCTCTCCTCTATTTTGTTTTGCCAATTTTCCTATGTTTTTGATGAAAGACAGCTTTAGTCTAATTGTGGTCATAGTTCTGTTGCTGTCCATGTTGTTTTTCTCCATCTGTTGTCATTAACATTGTTTTTTGTTTGTTTCAGCCTCCTCCTCAGAGGAAGAGTCAACAGGGTAAGCCCAAATCTGGCAAGCCTCCTCTTATTCATGTGACATTGTCACTTCGAGAAGATGTAAAACTCCATGAGACTGAAAATGCATGGAAGCCTGGTGTACTTGTTGCTGGTAGTAAAGAGTCTGATGAAGAAGAAGCTAAGACACAGGTATGTTTGGAATTTTTTTGTCTTACCTCTTATTTTGGCTTTTCCTGATATTTTCTGAAGTGTTTGGCATATATTCTTTAAATTTTTATTTATTTTTACCCGGTTACATGTGTTTTGCTCCAGGATTTGTACAAGAAAGTTCGAGGTGTGCTCAACAAACTTACGCCTCAGAAGTTTGACACATTGGTCGGACAGGTTCAGGCTTTGCCAATTAACACTCCTGAAAGATTAAAGGGAGTTATTGATCTTGTTTTTGACAAGGTATGTGATTACATTCATTGATTCTCATTTGTATTTTCTCAGCCTTTTTCTTTTTCTTTTTTTGTAATACCGTGGTGTTTTATCTGTTTACAGGCTGTTGATGAACCAAATTTCTCTGTTGCCTATGCTAAAATGTGCAATGAACTGAAATCTAAAGAAATCCAGAATAATTCCTTTAGGAAGATCCTCATAACACGGTGCCAACAAGAGTTTGAGAAAAACAAAGACGCTGAAACCAATAATAAGGACAAAAAGATTAAGGAAATTGAAAGTGAACCAGATCCAGTGAGTTTGATTTGTTGTAACTCTTTTGCTAGTCCTGTTTATTAACAATCTTATATACAACCCTTCCTCCCTTGTTTTTCTTCTTCAGGAAAAGAGGAAGGAACTTACATTAATGTATGAAGAGGAGGAAAGAAAAATTAGGATGAAGTCTGTTGGCAACATTAGGTAAGTGCAGTCTCAGTATTAAGATACATCATATAAACCTTTCTGTAGAAATTTTAATGATTTTCCTCTTTTAGGTTCATTGGTGAATTGTACAAGCTGGGAATGTTGACTGGACCTATCATGCTTCGTTGTGTTAGTGACTTGCTGAGGAAGGAAGACGAAGAATCTTATGAGTGCCTCTGCAAGCTTTTGACTACTATTGGAAAGAAGTTGGAAATGGTAAGTTTGTTCTGTCTCAACTTCTGAGCAAGCTTGGTTCATCATGGATGTATGGTTGAGAGCTAGTTCCTACAGCCCTACAAACTGATCAGAGGCCCCATCTTAAACTGCCTAGGTTAATTCCTCAAAGCATGGTTAGCATGTTAATAACTAAAAAAAAGATCTGATATGATGACCCTATTTGGGTCCCGCTGAAGAGTAAATGACACTTCGTGATTTTATTTTAAGCATTCTGACAGATCTTGTTTGAATGGTTTCAAAGTTTTGGGCCACTCAATTAGGGTTTTTTGATAGGGTACATCACAATGCACTTAATCTGGTATTTATAGTCTGATCTGATGTGATGACAACATAAAGGCTTTGGAGAGGTGCTGTGCTACCTCTATGATTTTATTCGTAGCCAAAAGGATCCTGACAGATTGTATTGATGCCATAAGGGCAGAGAACTATTGGCTGCACTCCCAGTAATTGATCACTGGTCTAGGGTCAATATTTGAAACAGTAGCATGCGTTTCATCAAGATCTGACATGATGACAAAAAGTTAGGTCCTTCTGAAGGATATTGCCATTTCCACATTGTGTCGATATTTCTTAATTGATTCTGACAGATCTTGATGTTTCAATGTAACATCCTCACTGTTTAATTTGCTTAACTTTTTTTAGTCTGAATGCTATTGACCTGGTGGTATTTGTACCATGTGGGCCAAAAGAACCCGACCGCTCCGGCCGGCTCTGGCTGGGGTTTTCTGGTCACAGCGTCTAAACTGTTCAACTTGAAGGGGTATAGTAAGCGAGCCGATTGTAGGTCTCTGTGCAAGGAACAATCGGCTCGCTTACTGTACCCTTCTAAATTCAACGGTTTTGACGCTGTGACCAGAAATCCCCGGCCAGAGCCGGCCGGAGCGGTCGGGTTCTTGAGGCTCACATTTTAGTTGTGGTTCAAGATCTCAAGTGATGACATACAGTTAGGTCCTACTGAAGGATATTGCCATTTCCACGTTGTGTCGATTTTTCTTTAATTACTCTGATTGATCTTGATGGTATAATGTAACATCCACACGGTTTGATTTGGTTAACTTTTCTTGTAGGCTGTTTTCTGAGAGGGTTCTTAACAATGCTTTTGACCTGGTGGTACTGTAGTTGTAGTTCAAGATCTGAAGTGATGACATACAGTTAGGTCCTACTGAAGGATATTGCCATTTCCACATTGTGTCGATTTTTCTTTAATTATTCTGACAGATCTTGATGTTAATGATTGGTAGGGTTGAAATACAACTTCCTTGCTGTTTAATTTGGTCTTGCATTTAGGCTACCAAATTATTAATCTACTAAATTATACTAATTTGATTAATTTCTGATGGCATAGCATTTTTGTAATTAAAAGATCTGATATGATGACCCTATTTGGGTCCCGCTGAAGAGTATATGACACTAGCTGATTAATTTTAAAGCATTCTGACAGATCTTGCTTTAATGGTTTTGAAGTTTTGAGTCATTCAGGCTAATTTCTGGAAGGGCACTTCACAACACTGTTGATCTGGTGCTTAAAGTATAGTGGTTCTATATCTGATGTGATGACAACATGAAGGCTTTGGAGAGGTACTGTGCTATCTCGATGATTTTATTTCTAGCCAAAAGGATCCTGACAGATTGTGTTGTTGCTAGGAGGGCTGAGAAGTAGGGGTCGATGTTTGAAAGTGTGGCATGCGTTTCATAAGTCAAGATCTGACATGATGACAAAGTTAGGTCCTTCTGAAGGATATTGCCATTTCCACATTTGTGTCGATTTTTCTTAAATAATTCTGACAGATCTTGATGTTCTAATGGTTGCTGGGGTTTCAATGCAATAGCTGTGCTGTTCGATTTGGTCACTAATCCTGGGGGGATACTTCATAATGCTGTTGGTGTGGTGTTATTTGTTTGCCCAAAATAATTTTGGATAGATCTACTTTATGTGCTTGGCAATGTCAATTTTTAATGTATTTATTTGTTTCTCTCTGCAGGAACTAACACAGGGAGGCCAAGGAGATGTTTTGAGTTCCTACTTCATCAAAATGAAGGAGTTGGCTGATAAGGGAAGGAAGGGCAAGAACGTTTCATCCCGAGTCAGGTTCATGCTTCAAGATTGCATCGACCTTCGGTCCAACAAATGGGTTCCGCGCCGAGATGACTCGAACCCCAAGACCATGGACGAGATCCACCGAGAGGCCGAGCGCGAGACTGTGGAGATGAACATCGCCCTGGCGCAGCAGGGCACTCCCAGGAAGGACGACCGCGGCATGAACCGCGGCATGGGAGGCGGCGGTGGAGGCATGGACAAGCGGGGCGGCAGGGGCGGACCAGCTGCCGATGATGGTGGTTGGAAGAACGTGCAAACCAGGAGTCGGCCCCTAGACGTCAACAAAATGGCCAAGGGCATCATTCAATCAACCGAAATAGCAACTCTAGGCTCACCTAATCAATTCTCCAAGTGGGGCGGGGGCAGTGGGAACAGTGCCTCGAGAGACCCCAAAGCTATCTCTTCTAGACCTGGACCCGTTGTCACCACAGGCAACCCCTTCTCAGCTCTTGAGAAGACTTCTGTGTTCAACAATGCGTAAGTTCGGTTTTTATAATGTTGTTTTCTCTCCTGTTTGTCTCATTTTCATCTTTTAACATCATATTCTATGATGTGAATTGTAGTAAATTGCAACTTGTGATCTGTGCTTACAGCGAGAGGAAACCATCTGGTTCAAGCAGTAAGGATCGAAGCATGGGTAAGTAAATTAACTGCTATGCTTATCTCTGGCTACTCCTTATCTTAATGTGCTGCTGGACAAAAGTAATCTTAACCCTCAATTTTATCTTGTTGCAGGTGACAGAAATAGTGGGTCTCGTAGCAGTAGTCAACATAGGACAAGCTCTCAGCCAGCTTCTAGGGACAGCTCACAAGCAAGAGGAAAGCTTGAAGAGGAAAGGAGAAGCAGGTGAGCATTATTTAAAATTTTCCTGGGAGAAGATACGTGAGGTATCTTTCAAACACAGGATTCTCACCACTAACACTCCCTACAAAATAAGGCTCTCTGATGACTGTAGTTCTTAAAGGTACTGACTGCAGACAGATACGGAGCCAACACCTAGCACCCTACCCAATGCTTTGTCTCAACCATGTTTGCAACTTGTTTTCTTATTCTTGCTGTGTTTTGCAGGGTACCCACACCAACCTCTGTGAGTGAAATTTCACCAAGTGAGCAACCTACATCCAATGCCAAGGATGCAAATGGTGGCCCAGTGTGCAAATTGAGGAGGCTAGAAGAAGGTGAAGAATTAGAAAGGATATCTAAAAACCTTGTGGACGAGTATCTTTCCCATAGAAAATTAGAGGTGAGTTTGTGTGCTGCTGTCATTACCTGACATTTCTTGCATTGGTCTGAACCTTTTATCTTTGGTTTTAGGATGCAACCTTAGCTGTTCAAGATTACTTTGACTGGACCAACATTGCATCTTTTACTCGAGAAGCTTTGGCTTCAATGTTAGATAGAGTTGTGGTGCAGGATCACATACTAGTTGGTAAATTTTTAGGACATCTTATTCAAATAAATCAAATGCGAAAAGAAGATTTTAATGCTGGGTAAGTGCACCTCGCAACTGTTTCATTGTATCTGATAAGTGATGAATTTTGTTTTAAGAGCTGTTCTGTTTCCAGGTTTTCCCAAATATTAGAATTGTGCCCTGACTTTATTGTTGATATCCCTAAGTTGTGGACTCATGTTGGAGCACTTCTTGGTAGGCTCTATTGGATATACCTGCTTCAGTTAACTAACAGTGAAATTATATTCTAATGTAATGATTTCTCTTCCTAGCGGGTATTCTGCTCATTGAGGCTGTGACTTTCAAAGATCTAGCAGAACCATTAGTTGTGCTCAAAGGCTCAAAAGAAGCTGGTTTGCTGCTCAAAAATATTATGCAAGTTTTAGATAAGGAAAAGGTACGAATGTCCCCAAAACTTAAAATTTTATGCTGCATGCTGTCAAAGTGTCACTATTTCATGCTTTATTTTAATTTTCTTCGTCCCTCAATCAACAGGGTTCGTCCTGGATTAAGGACAACTGGAATAAGTGTGGAGCCACATGGTGTGACTTCCTTGAAGAGAAGGATGTATCTGACTTCCTTAAAGAAAATAATGTGAGTTTTAAATGCAACTTGTGTTTTTTCTGCGACGGTTTTGGTCAGGTCTTATGTGTTTGTTCATTGGTTTTACAGAATTTGGAATCATTCTCCGGAGGGGCGCTGGCGTCCAACACAGAGATGACTCAAGAAGAAATTCAGAATAAGCTATTAGATTTCCTCAACTCAAATGAGACATTCGATGGTATTCAGGGATGGATAAAAGTGTGTATCTTTTTGTAAACCCTTCTCATGTAGGTAATTTAGCTGTGCGGCCGTGCCCTAACTTCTTTTTCTTTGTCCAGTCTAACGTTGGGGATCGTACAAATGAACCTGCCTTTATTCGTGCCTTGATGACAGCTATCTGTAGAAATTGTTTACAAGGTTTGTATTTTTGGAGAGTGCCTATCCTCATTTATTCTGCCATGAGTTGTTATTGAACGTAATTTTTCTGTCTGCAGAGGCTCAACCAAGTAACAAATTGACATTAAATGAAGAAAAGTTGAGTCAAGACAAACTACTCCAGCGTTATCTTGAAAACAAAGAGGACTTGGAGTTGCAATGTCTCTATGCAGTGCAGGCGCTGGTCACTCAACTAGAGCACCCTCAGGGTAAGTTTTGCTGAAGGGACTATTTCTTCTTCTTTATCTTAGCCATGCATAATCATTTTTATTTTTGTCTTTCAGGTCTGATTGTTTCCATATTCAATGCGCTTTGGGAGTATAACGTAATATCCACTGATGCTTTCCTTGCTTGGTTCAAAAGTGATGATCCTCAAGAGACTGAAGGAAGGGGCGTCTGCCGGTCAAGCTTGGCCTCGTTCCTGACCCTTCTGTCTGAAACTGAGGAAGATGAAGAACATCCTTGATATAAGGCCAGACGACGCAAGTCGAAACCTCATTTTGTGCTCCAATAGCCATGAAGGACTCTAACTGAGCCAGGTGCTTGGAGTGTGTGCCGACTGGTAGTGATGCTGGAACAATGTGGAGGATCTGTGAAGTCTGACAGAAGAAACTGCCCACAAGTGCAGTAGTATTAGTGTCTAGTTCGTTTTCGAAACTAAAATATGACTGATATGGTATCATGTTTCTCATACTTTGAGAATGCTTTTTTTACTTTATAAGCCGTTTTTTAACATAGCAAAGAATATTTACTACGTAATTTTTAAATGATCGATTCAGGCATGACTGAGCAGCAAGAAGGCTTAGGTATCACTTGTTTTGCGACCCGCAGGCCGCAGGCACCGCGTAATCAAGCAGACCCTGACACCCTGCCTTTCTGTAACCTTTATTTTCCACATTGAAAATGGTTTCCCCTTTTGGAAGTGACATGGAAAGCATTAATTGTTCATTGCGAAAGGCGCTGATTTGGGATGAAAATCAAACTAAGTCCATATGAATATAATTATTATTGCTATTAAGAGATTTATCAAGCAGTGAGACTGGAGGTCAAGTTAAACATAATTGTATTATACTATTAAATGAAGTGTTGTTTTTGTTGATTCAAGAACTGTGTGGCTTTGAGCTACAGTTTTGGTTGGGATTATTTAGTTTTGTAAATTGCAGCATTTGAATAGGTGAACTTCGGCATGTTAATGAGAAAAGAAAAGAGGTCGCAGGAGAGTTGTTGTTTTGTATGTAGGAATATGGAAATGCTCGCATCCATTCTATGTAAATGACAGACTATATATTTATGGATGAAAAGCATGGTTATGAGGGCGTAGAATTATTAAAACATGGTGTACAAAATGTTTTGGTTGTTATTTGACCCAAATGCCTTGCTGTCCTTAGGCATGTACCCATTGCAGCATTGTAATCATTGTGCAAAATCTATGTGTATTTCAAATCTTAATAAGGGCATTTGTTAAGTGGCGTTTTGACATTTTGTCAAATTTTGACCTGTTTTGAAAGTGCTGTATATAAAAAAAAATATATATGTACATTTCCATAATGGCTGCTGTTTAACTTTCCACCTGTCATTCACAATAATGAAAATGGGCTACAGTTCGCCATATTTATTTCACTTTGAAATTATCATGGGTTTTACAGTTCAGTGACGTACCTCCTGAGCTGGGATACAATACATAAATTTGAAGACTCGCAACCTACTTATGTTACAATAAATCCTTCAGATGTCATTGATAGGTGGCCAATTCCTTAAGCAGACATTTTACCAAAAGTTCAAGCTCACCTTCATAGAGTCCCAGTAGCAAGAAAAACAGTATAAACACGGCACTATGCTTGAACATCTCAAGAAAAGAGGAGGCAACCAACCACTTCGTCCACACACTCGCCGAGGGCCGTAAAGATCACTGTGAAGTCCTGAAGTGGTGACTAAGGGGTCCTTCGTCTGCGTAGCCGGCGATTTCTTGAGGGACAATGGCGCTCTCCTCCACGCCAGTGCAGGGCCGGCACATGCACTCCAGGGGGGCTTTGGTGGACACCTGCAACACGGCGCGGCGTTAGCGCTACGAGGCGAGGACACTCGTTCTGGACGGTTCAAGCGACGATGGGCAGCTGCGTGCTGTAGGCCTCACCTTCCGGAACTTGCGCTCGCCGGGCTTGGCCTTGGGGCAGAACAGGGAGACGCTGGCCTCGCGCTCTCCGCTCTCCTGGCAGCACATGCAGGACCGCTCCATCTGCCAGATCTTGGAGCCGGACACCTACGCGAGGACTCAATTAGTCGCCGAAGAAATACGCTCGGTGCGCAAGGGACCGGCGTGGGGTTTCGGCTCCTACCCCCAGGCCCCAGCGTGGGTGGCGACTTTGGTGGGACACTCCAGGCCAGGGCACACGCCACGTAAAGTAGCACGACTCACCTGGAGGTAGCTGGAGCAGCGGCCCGTGCACGCGAAGGACGGGATGGGCTTGGGCACGCAGCCCGGGTACTGCAGCACGTGGATGACGGGCGTCACCTGGCACTCCTCGTTGGGCGTGGAGCCTCCGGAGCCACTGGAGCCGGCCCCCGCGGCCCCCTCCGCCACCCCCTGGCCCACCTGGCACGCGGCGCCCAGCCAGAGCACGGCCCACCACGCTGCTCCTGCCGCGCCAGCTGCACGGAGCACGGCCAGATGAACATGATTGGCTTTGGATTTTCGGAAAAGCGGCAGCCGAAATGGCCCCGGCGGTACTCCGTGCCCGGGTGACTGCTAGTGCAAGTCGCGATAGAGGTCTCTTGCGCGTGGGGTATCGCCGGGTCCAATTCGGTACCTGCTCATTTTTCCTCGACATCTGAACGCGACTCTCGGATTGACTCACGTGGGGCTTGGAAGGCGACCATGTCGGGGTGCCGTGGCGCTGGGGCAGGGGCTGCTGTCCTCGGAGCCGCTGCAGAGGCGAGTGCGGGGGCGTCGCGACGCCCAGGGCCTGACTGAGGGAGAGGGATGACTGGAGGCTGCACAGCCGAGCCTCCCCCCTCCGCCTCCCTCCCCCCCCCCCCCGGCCCCCCACGGGGGTACGACGGGCCCATTAAGTCGCAGCGGGGCCTCCAGGGGGTGCAGGGGGTGGGGGCGCGACTTGTAAGCCGGTGGCCGCACTCCGCACTTAGCGTCGCAAAGAGGACTTTGGTTTTGCATTTCCGGATTCCCGGCTTCGAGAGTGAATATCCGGATAACCAAGGCCCGAGGGTGGATTGGGAAATTGCAACCCTGGATTTTCCTGTTCAACCTCCTCCGCCGTTCAGAAAATCATTTCCACTTTGAGATGGTTTTGTGGTTTCGCACTACTTCTTTTGTGGGAGAAAATGGGCAATTCTCTTAGATCATTTTCATTTTAAATATGCGAGTCAAAAAGTCAAACTTTTCAGAAATCCTTGAAAGTACTGTAGGACCGCAGCACAGAGGGCCACACAACGCCAGTTTAAAGTGTTGCTGCGTGGTTCCGGTGAGGGGAAGGCCCACCCTCCCCGCTTTCTGGATGATTTGCGGTGGTATGTTTGTCTGCTCCCAGACTTGGGAAGTAAAGGGAATTCTACGATGCTGGGAAACGGTGTATCTGTAGCTTCTATGCCCCCCCTTTTTTTTTGGGGGGGGGGGGGCGTTTGTCCACCCTCATCAATAAGATGATTCGCTTTGCTTTATTCTTGGCAAAAGGGTAGAAAATGAATAAATAAAGTAAATATAGCTTATTTGTGTTTCATTTTATTTGTGACTTCACAAAATTAGACACTATGTACAATTTCTTTGGAGGACACGTGAGGTGAGGTAGTTTTGGGGTATCAAACATTTTAACACACAGTCAGAAAAAAAGTTTTTAACAGGTCCACAATGAAGCAATTTTTGTTTGCTGATAACAAAAATCGAGTACATTTATCTTTTGCAGGTATACAAGGGGAGAGCTACGTACATCACCAAGCATCAGTTTTAAAAGAATTAAAATCATATCGAATTTAAAAATTTGCACTCTCCTGGTATTGGTTAACAATTCATCTACTTGGTCGATTTGGTCAGAAAGGGGGATGAACTCGAGTCAAGCTGTTGTGGGGTGGGTCGGCAGCCTCGTCTCGTCTGGTCAGCGCGAGTAGTCGCCGCACTTGAAGCAGCGGCAGTCGGCCGGCTCGCGCAGCTTCACCTCCATGGAACTGCGGCCCTCCGCCGTGAGTCGCGCGCCGTCCGGGTCGTAGCAGTGTGTCAGGGCGACCACGCGCTCGCGGAGGAAGCTCTCCCGGCAGCAGTAGCACTCCTGCGGGGGGAAGGACAAGTTAGACGAGTTAGAGCAGCGGGGCGACTGGCCAATCAGAGCACGAGGAAGCGGTGTGCACCTTGAGGAAGCCGGTGGGGGTGATGACGCTGGGCTGCACCTGGGAGGTGCACGCGCCCTCGCACTTGTTAACGGCGATGTCCCCGTTGCACGTCCTGGACAGGCGCCCCAGCTCGTCGAACTCCTCTGGAACGAAACAACGCGGCCTGTTCAAGTCGGACCAGTCCACAGCTCAAGTGCCTCAGCCGGCACACGACACCGAATCGGGGTCGGTTGGAAGCTCTGACCTTTGACGATGTGTATCTCGGAGGGCAGCGTCTCGCAGGCCTCCTCGTTCTCGGCCCTGGCCCGGGGCGGTCCGAGGCCCAGCAGGTACACGCCGACCGCCAGGACCAGCCCACAGCGCACCAGCCTCATGGCTTGCCTCATGGCTTGCCTCGGCCCGGCCTCGGCTCCGCTTGACTCGGCTGCCCTCGGCCTCGGCTCGACTCGGCTCGGCAGCTGCAACATGAACGGGGACGTCTTGGCGGGGCAGTCCCGGCACCAGCGGCACCAGCGCGACGACGCCTACCTTGGGCTGGAGCGCGTCCTCTGCGTCGCTGCGGCCACGGCCACGGAGTGACTCGGAGTGGAGTGGCGCCGAGTGCCGGCACCGGCTGCAGAGCGGCGCTAAGCGGCGCGGGTTCGGCCGAGGTCCTTCCCTTCCCGGCGGCCCCTCCCCCACAGTCCCAGCCAGTCCCAGCCAATGGCACGGAGCCCAAGCCGGGCTGGGTAGGCAAAGTGTCGGGCGAGCGTGCCCTCAGCTGCCTACCCCCGGACGCTCGACCCGGCCGTAGAGTCCCGGCCGCAGCGAACGCCTGCGGGACAACGGGTAGGCACCCCGCTCAACGCGTCCGTCGGGCGGGTTGGCCTATCCTTTCCATCACAGGCGCTGAACGAAACTTGAAACTGGCAGCGAATCGCAACTCGCAATGTAGCTCCTCATCGTAAGCAAAGGTCATGCAAACTAGCAGGGGAGCACACCAGCACCATTGGAGTGCAGTACGGGCAGATTTATCAGCAACAGTGGCGAGGGGGATGGAGAGGGGGAGGGGGGCAGACCTTCAACAACGAGCACTGCCACACTGCTACCCGGAGCACCCCGAGCACCCCGCGGCCAGTAAATGGATCGCCACTACACAAATCCATTATGCCGTCGCGTCGGGGCGGCTCGGGGCGGCTCCGGAGACCCGCCCGGGCTGCTCGTGGCTGCTCGCGTCAGCGGGGGCGGGCGTCGCCACTACACTGCCCTTCCCCCGGATCGCCCGCTGGTCAAGACTGGACCGCACAGGACGCACGACGAGCAGTCGAGTCACTGTGAAAACGGAATCGCCAGGCTGGCCCTATCTGTTGCTCATCATGCACTCGCCCATTCGCCTGCGGGCCGCTTCGAACACATTCAAGTTCGCGCCGAAGGGCATGGCGGCAGAAACCTGGCAGCGCTGCATCACCTTCGCTTGTTCTCTGTTTACAGCCGGTTGATTCGAAAGACAAGTGGACGTCAAATTTTGCTTGCCGTGTCAATTTTATTTCAATCCTGAAAATGGCAGCTCGTGGAACGAAACGGCCCTCTCTCGCTGGTACGAACGGTCCTTGCATTCCGATCTTTGCTTCGCTGGTTTAGTGTCAGTGATTGGTAACTCTTGTTTGATGTGTCAGTAACCTCATTTTCAGTCATTTTCACTTAAATGGTTTCTTGTGCTTGTTGCCATATTAAAACTATAACCTTTTGGGTTTTTTTGTTGGAAGACTTTTAGCAATTATTTGGAAGAAAAAGTTTAAATAATTATTTTTTTCAGATGATAATTCCTCCAGCAACGCATCGCCAAAAAAGAAGTCACGCCAGGAATGCAAATTTGGCATAAAGTGTTACAGGAAAAATCCTGCGCACTTTGAAGAATTTGAGCATGCACACTGTAATAATTTTGATTCATATTTTAAATCTACATTATCTTAGCTTGTAATTTGATGTCACTTAAAAAAATTTCTTTGTTACCAGTGACTGATATTCTCCCTAAATGGAAAGATGAAAGCTCTCTTCCATCTGGTGTAGATCCAGAGATTCGAAAAAATCCTGTAGTCTTGGATCAGCTAAAAATTGTCAAGAAGCTTGGCAACTCAAAGTTAAAAGTTGACTCTCCGAAGCCCACCACGAGTACTGCAGTTGCATCTCCAAAACCAAGCACAGCTCCAACTTCAAAGGCAGAAGGAGAAACAAAGGCACCGATTAATGCAAACTCTGAAAAAATGGCTAAGATGATGAAAGAAGCCACCAAGCACCATGGCGATGTCCAAGCAAAGCTTGACGCCGCTGCTCCATATAATTTTTTTTTAACGTCTATCACTGACTCACCACAGACCCACAGTGAACCCTTGACAATAACATTCACAGGTGATAAGCCCATTAAGATGTCTCTAAACTGACCTGAAAGATTAACTTACTATTTTTTACCAATTTTTTGTATTTTAGAATTACTGGACAAAAGTCTTGGTGAGCTGGAGTCATCTTTACAAATTAATTTTATGGTTGAACTGGGATGGTTACTTGCTCAGTACTTTTACACTGGAAATAGGTACCAGTAACTCTCCATTCCTCATCTTTTACTGTAGTTTGTGAGAACTTTTTAAAAGTTTTCATTTTTTGTTGCAGATTTAAACCACTAACACTGTTGTATGGAGTCGAAGATGAAGACCTAAAAGTTGGGGCAAATTTGCCAAGCAACGTAACTGCTGTCAAAGTTAGACCACCCACTGCATTTGGCCATCACCACACGTAAGTATAGGCTCAGAAACTGCTTTGTATTTCTGAACGGTGACTAATTACAATGACCTTTCAGAAAGATGTCTGTCTTGGCATATAAAGATAACAGCATCAGGGTAATTGTGTCAACAGCGAACCTTGTTGAATCTGATTGGGAAAACCGCACACAAGGGTAAGACAATCTTCCTTTTCTATTTTATTTTTGGCTTTGTGGTAGTACTTTTATGAACTGCTATTTTTTTAAAAATTAGGCTTTGGATAAGTCCAAAATTACCACAATTACCTCCTGATGCAGACACCATGTCTGGAGATTCACCTACCCAATTCAAGGGGGATCTAGTTCGCTATCTCAGTGCATATCGGCTGCCTCAGCTTCAAGAGTGGCTTGGTAAAATTCGGAGAGCTGATTTTTCATCTGTGAGGTAAGGGTTTGTTGCTTGTTAAAGTTAAATTATAAGGACTCTTTCTGATGTTTTCTTAAATTACAGAGTTTGTCTAGTTGCCTCAGTACCTGGCACACATTATGGGCCAGATTCTACATTGTGGGGACACCGCCGTGTTTGCCAATTGCTCAAAGAACATGTTTCTGATCCCAAGATTACTCAGTCCCCATGGAGTAAATGGCCTGTGATAGGCCAGTTTTCTTCAATCGGCTCTTTAGGACCAGATCCTAATGCTTGGGTCTGTAGTGAACTGAGAGCAAGTTTTAGTGCTCCTTCAAAACCAATGGACCATCCATCTATTAAATTAGTAAGTACTAAATTATGTTGAACACTTTGCCATGTTACTTTATTTCAGCAGTTTATTTATGATTTTGACCATATACAGATATACCCCAGTTTGGATAATGTGAAGGGAAGCCATGATGGTTTGCTTGGAGGAGGATGTTTGCCCTACCAGAAAAAAACCCATGAGAAACAACAATGGCTCACATCTTATTTACAGTATGTTGTAAATTTTAAGGCCAGTTCAGAATTATCCACATTTATTTCACACCATGACGTATTTAACTTTGGTTTTTTGTATCTTACAGCCAATGGCAAAGTAATGCACGTTTTCGAAGTCGAGCTATGCCTCACATCAAAACCTATTTAAGAGTGTCTCCTTGTCACTCTTTCTTACCCTGGTTCCTGCTAACATCAGCAAACCTATCTAAAGCTGCCTGGGGCTCTGAAACAAAAACAAAACTTCCTGGGCCTGGCTTGCGAATTTTGTCCTATGAAGCTGGAGTGCTATTCCTTCCAAAATTCATTGTAAGTACAGTACTTTAAGTAAATTTTTTACATAAGTCGATGGTCAAGAACTTCAATGTGGCTATTTTTCTGCAGGTGGATGATAATGTGTTTAACTTGGAAGGTGGTAATTCGTCCTCAGTGTCAACAGGAACAGGAAAGAGGCAAGACTACCCTCCGTTTCCATTGCATTATGACTTACCTTTAAAAACTTATAAAGCTGGGGACTCCCCCTTCTTTTATGATATTTTTAATGAATAATCTCCAGTGTTTCTTGAACTCCCAAGAACATTTTGAGTGGATCCGAATCAATGTCTCATGCTTAGTTGAGCCATTATGATTTCTCCTTGTTATATCCTTCCATATTTTATAATTGATCAACTTAAATTTTCCTTGTGGAACTTAGTTCATGAATGAAATTTGTTTGTTTTCATTTTAAACTCTGGATTCAATGTCAATCAATTTGTGCATGCTCATGCCATACTGAGTTACAATGTTCAATCTGTGATATTATTGTGTATTTAGCCACTTGCTTGAGCATCTTTTAAGCCATTAGTGTAATCAGTCAGTATAAATTTTTAAAAATTCTGAAGGAAAGTCAGATGTTTTTTATTACTTTATTCTGGGACAAAAATAAATAAATAAATAAATAAATAATAAATAAATAAATACATATGCTAGTTAACTCAGCTATTCAACCTTTCAATATCACCAAGGCTCTTCAACGATTCAAGTTTTCTTGTAAGCATCTGTTCTAAATGCTCCCAATGAAACTGCTTACTGTGACGTTCCTGAGAATATTTGGCTTTGATCATTTGTAGCTATGAGAACAGGTTCTAGGGGCAGGTCCGCGCTCAAAAGGCCTCATTGCTGTGGTCCAGCGACAGATGGTGGTGGTGGTGGTGCAGCAGCGGCCTGTGGTGGCCGGGGTGCTGCGTCCTCAGCTTGCTGGATGACACCCTCTTGACCTTGAGCAGCGACGCTCTCAGTGTGGTTGCCGGCGGTTCGGAGGTCGTGGTCGGCGCGGACGTGGAAGCTTCCGTCATTGTGGAACTGGAAAGCAGGAAATGAGATTTCTGGTTCGTTTCAATGAACACCCTTAAGGTGATCCCACAACGGGTCGGTCCGTCGCACACGGTCGGTCGGACGGCGCGGTTCTACGCTGAGGCCAGCTCTTCCAAACAATCCGCGGAGCACACACTCGTCTGTCTTTCCCTCAAAGAGTGCAAAAGCGTCCCTGCCGTCCGCCTCCCTCCACCCCAAGCGTGGCAAATGGGTGGCCTACCTTGGTGGCGCTGCTTCACCTCTAGGATGCAAAAGAGTTCCCGCCGTCGGCTCCCACCCCCCCTACCCCCCCTCCCAGAAGGAGAGGGGAGTAGGGGCAATCATAAAGGGTTAGTCACCTGACCTGGCTGGTAGCGAACCAGGTCCAACGGGAAACATGTGCTGCCGCATGGCCTCCAACCAGCCTCCACGGCCCATCGCTCTGCCACCTGAGCTACGACAACACACCTGTCTGACACGTCTTATCTTAGAGTGATGGTAGCGGGTTTGAGAAGTAAACTGAGGAAAAGATTCACTCACCTGGGAGTCGAACCCAGGCCTTCCTCCCGCCAGCCCAGGGGTCTCAGAGTGGCGGCCCGCGGGCCGAATCCGGCCCGGCTGCTCGGTGCCTGGCCCCGAGTGGGCCGGTGCCGAACGATGTTCGGCGTTCGCCGAGCGACACACTCGGCCAGCGAGAGCAGTGGTCGGTGGCTGGCTCGTCGCCGCTCGTCTCCCTGCCGTCACGCGTGTCAACCGACAGGCAGTATGTCTATCTCTCTCGCACTCACACAGTCATATGGGCGAGGGACAAGGACAGACAGTGGTCTGTGTCGGCGAGTCCGCTCAGCCGGCTGCGGACTGCCGCTGGGCGGCCGGCTCGAGCTTCACACCTCCCTATAGTCGACCCAGCCAAAGGTCTCGCTTCTTGCGACCGTTAAAACTGCCCCCTCCACAGGGCCGGGGGGAGCGCGGGGGCTGGTGCGGGAGGACTTTCGCGGTGGAGGGGGCAGTTTTAACGGTCGCAAGAAGCGAGACCTTTGGCTGGGTCGACTATAGCCGACGCGACGCGCTCCGATCTTCTATCTCTCTCTTTTTCCTAGTCCGGCCCGGGTTTGCTGCCAGTCTGAGACCCCTGCGCCAGCCGACACCTCTACCATCTCAGCCAACCAGCCACTGAGAAGTAACGCGTTCAATCTTAGAGTGATGGTACCGGATTTGAGAAGTAAACTGAGGAAAAGATTCACTCTCCTGGGAGTCGACCCCAGGCCTTCCTCCCGCCAGCCGACACCTCTACCATCTCAGCCAACCAGCCACCGAGAAGCAACGCGTTCAATCTTAGAGTGATGGTACCGGATTTGAGAAGTAAACTGAGGAAAAGATTCACTCTCCTGGGGGCTGAACCCAGGCCATCATCGCGCCGGCTGACATTCCTACCATCTCAGCCACCCGGCCACTACGGAACGCTGCGATCAATCTTAGAGTGATGGTACCGCGTTTAACAGTCTGTGGCTAAGGAAAATGTTATTATATTTGAGATTCGAACCCCAGTCTTTCTCAGCGCGGAAGACACGTCTGCTCACGGAGCCACCTGACAGCTGACTACCCGGCTGCCCAAACTTAGACTGCTACCGCATTTAAGCTGTCAACTAAAGAAAATAAGTTTGTCACTGGGATTCGAACCCAAGTCCTCATTCGAGGCGGTCGCTGCCTCTGCGCCCTGAGCCACGGAGACACACACGGTTACACCGATTGTACCGGGATCTTCTCCTCTAGGCTTGAGAAGTTAACTGAGGAAAACGTAATCTCACTGGGGAGTCGAACCCAAGCCTCTTTACAGACTCGCATTGAGATAGTGTTATTGATCGACCGTCCGACCGACCCCTTGTGCGATCACCTTTATGGCGAGGACCTGATTGGTCACCTGTTGCTCGACGCCGTGGTCGGGGTGGTGGCGTCAGTGGCCGCGACGGTGGTTTCGTTCGCTGCGGTGGTGGGGGTCGCGACGGAGGACTTGGACTCCGTCTCCGAGGACGACGTCGTGACCGTGGACGCCGTCGCGCTGGTCGTGAAGCTAGGCGCCGAGGAAGTCGTGGACGCCGCCGTCGTCGTCCGAGGCGGGCTGGGGGTGGTAGCGTTGCCGAGCTGCAGACAAGGAGCATGCAGTCATCGAACATGCGAGTGGAACGCAACAGACTGACGGTGCCGAAGCGGCGAAGCTCGAACCTTGGACACCTCGCAGTGCTTGCCCAGGAAGCCGGGCGGGCACTCGCAGGTGAAGTTGCCGTCCTCCTCGGTGAGGTCCACGCACGTGCCGCCGTTCAGGCAGGTGCCCTCGTTGTCGCGGCAGTAGCGCAGCTCTGCAAACGCCGCACGTCAAGCCGCGTCGTCAGTAAGGCGTCGTTCCGAGCCGAAGTCGTCGGCCAATTCGCAGTGGGCCAGAGGCCGGTGGAGGCGGCCAAAACTCTAGACGCGTTTTGAGCTCCAGAGTAGCAAAGCAGGACTCGAACCGAACGTGTGACCCCATCAATGGATTGCTCTCCGAAGGAGGAATCGATTGGTGGGGTCACACGTTCGGTTCGAGCCCCATTTAGCGACTCTGGAGCTCAAAACGCGTCTAGAGTTTTGGCCGCCTCCACCGGCCTCTGGCCCACTGTGCAATTGAAGTGGATCCTACCTTTGTCGCACAGCATGCCGCCCCAGCCCGGCTCGCAGTTGCACTCCCAGGGGCGGGCGCAGGAGCCGTGCACGCAGCCCGGGTACGCGAAGCACTTGTCGCAGTTGTTGCCCCACCAGCCCACCTTGCACCTGCGGCACAACAGGGGTCAACAGTGTCGCGGGCCACGGCGTGGTACGGCGTGGGGGTGCTCCGCCTCAGGGTGTGCCGGCCCGGTGAGGCAGCAGAGGGAGGGAGGGCCACGAGGGCCGTGGTCGGAAAGTCGAGGCCGAAACTGGGTGAACGTGAACGTCGTTCGGAACCAGTTCCCTAACCGGCGTCTTGCGGCTTGCGGCGGTTTTTTTCCTCTCTCTCTTCAATTCCGGCTCTCCGTCTCAATCTCTTTTCACTCCATCTCCATTCCAGCACAGGTCACGACTTGGCTGGAACAGCCGGGACACCAGGCCGCCAGTCGCAAAAGAAACGATCCGACCCAACCCCGGTGATACTCCGTGTCGAAAAGTCACTCGGGCACGGAGTGTCGCCGGGGGCGTTTCTTTCGACTTCACTCCACTCCCACGCCGTCGCGCATCCTCTGCTGCTAAAGTGAGGGAAATAGGCAGTAAATTATTGTTCCTGGACTGCTCGCGTCCAGTCCAGCCTGACAGGCCGACGAGTCGGTCGGTCCTGCTTGCTCCGGCCGCACAGTGGGCCAGAAGCCGGTGGAGGCGGCCAAAACTCTAGACGCGTTTTGAGCTTCAGAGTCGCTAAATAGGACTCGAACCGAACGTGTGACCCGACCAATGGATTGCTCTCCGAACGAGGAATCCATTGGTGGGGTCACACGTTCGGTTCGAGTCCCATTTAGCGACTCTGGAGCTCAAAACGCGTCTAGAGTTTTGGCCGCCTCCACCGGCTTCTGGCCCACTGTGGGCCGCCCCGGCCGGCCGAAGCCCGAAATGGTAATCGCTTTTCCCCGAAGTGGGTTGCTTTGCTTGTTGCTTGGCCATAAAGCAGGGCGGTGGGCCGATTTCGCGTTATTTTTAGTCCACACTCGTTCGGCGCCAAAGCGGGTTCTTCCCTCGAACGCCGCAAGCGAGGCTCCACCCGCTGCCCAGTGCTCCGACACGCCGCCGTCCCTCTTGCACTCGTGGGGCGTTCCGAACGGTTCCGAAGGGGTGCGAGAGAGACAGCGTGAGAGTCCGTACCTGCACTCGCCGGGCTTCCTGCAGTATCCGCGCTCCTTGTGGCAGTTGTCCGCGCAGATGGCTGCAACACAACACGGTGAGGGCGCGGTCGCGCGATCGGCACACAGCACGATAACCAAACACAGTCCGGCTGCCATTGCACAGTGGGCCAGAAACCGGCGCAGGCGGCCAAAAATCTAAACGCATTTTGAGCTCCAGGAACGCTAAATGGGCCTCAAACCGAGCGTGTGACCCCACCAATGGATTCCTCGTTCAGAGAGCAATCCATTGGTGGGGCCACACGTTCGATTCAAGTCTCATTTAGCGACTCTGGAGCGCAAAATGCGTCTAGAATTTTGGCCGCCTGCGCCGGTTACTGGCCCACTGTGCAATGGCTACCTGTCTGGCAGAGGATGCCGCTCCAGCCCTCCTTGCAGCGGCACTCCAGCGGCTTGGTGCAGTAGCCGTTCTGGCAGCCCGGCAGCACCTGGCACTCGCGGCAGGTCTCGCCGGCCCAGCCCAGGCGGCACCGGCACTCCCCGGGGGACTCGCAGTAGCCCCTCGTCGCGTGGCAGTCCGACCGGCAGATGGCTGCAACGTGCAACGGCCAGTGTCAGCGGCCCAACACTTTGATTGTCTCTTCGAGTGACACCGCAGCTTCGGAAAACTCACGCTCGGAGCAGAAGAGGCCGTCCCAGCCCTCCTCGCAGTTGCACTCGAAGCTGTTGTTGCAGTAGCCGTGCTGGCAGCCGGGCAGCGCGATGCACTTGTTGCACAGGTCGCCGTAGAAGCCTGCGGCACGAGCATCGAACGCGTTGCAGCGGTGGTTTGTCTCTCCATCTCTCTCGCACTCGGACGGGTCGCCGCACGAGTGCGACAGAGATCAGAGCGGAATCAGTCTGCAGCTCCAGCGACGCGCCTAGCGCCTGCGAACTGAGGATAGGCCACCGGCTGGCTTCGGCGCACAGGCGCGCGGCGGGGTGCCTACCTCGGCCTGCTCGGGCTGCTCGGTACACTGCAACACTCACCCAGCTTGCAGCGGCACTCGCCGGGACGCTTGCAGTAGCCCTGCAGCGGGTCGCAGCCCCGGCGGCACACTGGCACGTCGCAGAGGTCGCCGGTCCAACCCGGGAGGCACTTGACGTCGCCGTTGTCGTCGCAGGTGTAGTGCGAGCCCGGGTGCTGCCGAGCCGGAATCTCGCACGCCTGTGGGCCAGGACGGGAAGACGGGTCAGTTAGTGGGGACGGTAAGGGCTCCAACCTTGCACTTTGTGATGAAAACGAAATAATAGTCTTACTTTATGTTTTCGGGGGTGCTTTATCGATCTGGATATGGTGCCACGCCGAAATCGGGCTCCTTCATCCTGTTCGAGGCCAAGAAGTGCTAAATCATCTACAAACGACGGCTAAATGACGTCTGATCAACTTGGTAGTGGGCTCATTCGATTCGTCTCTTCAAGGCGGTCATTTTGACACCAATCTCGATAGTATGCGGTGCATAGGCGCGCATCCTGGCCGCCTAGAAGGTCCTCGAAGTGCCCCATCCTCTACAAAAGCATGCTTTACCGAGCAGATATCACTCCGGTTCGAGTGCCAATCGATTCCTATGCTTGAATCGAGTTTCTTGGACCCACCTGGTGACTGCAGGGCGTGCGCGCGCTCGCATCCTGGCCTCCTAGAAGGTCCTCGAAGTGCCCCATCCTCTACAAAAGCATGCTTTACCGAGCAGATATCACCCCGGTTCGAGTGCCAATATTCCTATGCGTGAATCGAGTTTGGTGGACCCACCTGGCGACTGCAAGGCGCGCGCGCGCTCGCATCCTGGCCGCCTAGAAGGTACTCGAAGTGCCCCATCCTCTACAAAAGCATGCCTTACCGAGCAGATATCACCCCGGTTTGGGTGCTAAGCGGTTGTTATGCGCGCATTTAATTTATTGAAGCAAATGACTACTGCGAGGGGCGCGCTCGCACGCATCCTGGCTGCCCCAATGGTGTTCGAAGTGCCCCATCCTCTACAAATGCATGCTTTACCGGTCTGATTTCGCCGTGATTTAATTTTCTAGCAGCATGAGCACTTCAAACGCGTGTTAACAAACTTCCGGGCCTTGGTAATGTCACAATAGAGGCTTAGTGAAACAGGGTTGCCGCGCTTCCGGAACTTCGGATTTACCTGACATTTCCAGGTTTATCAGAGACATCTTTTGCCATTTTCCCTGACATTTTGGCTAATTTTTGAAGGGAGTTTTCGCGCGTGGAAAGGATATCCCATCCGGCGCACGTCATGACTTTTTGGCCTGAAAGTAGGTATTTTGACCTGTTTTCCACGAATGTCCCTGACATTTCTAGGTGTTCCCGGTTATTTCTGACATAGCTTCATTTTCCCTGACAATTACAGGTTTTCCCTGTTTTCCAGGTGCGTGGCAACCCTGTGAAAACAAAATTTGGACGGTTCCCTTTTATATGTATTTCTATCCACACATTTGAATGACCTTCCACCGTCCTTAATGATATAAAAAATGCAAAAACTAGTTTAACAGACACTCTATGTTGCTTCCTCGTATATACTCTGCAAACTCAATTGCGTGCGGCATGCACTTGGTGCGTGCCTGTAGGCACACACTTCTTTCCTGCATGCCTGGCAGTCACACACCTCTTGGTGCATTCATGGCAGGCACACACTTCTTTTCTGCATGTCTTGCAGGCACAACTGCTTGGTGCCCGGCAGGCATACACTTCTTGGTGTATTGCCTGGCAGGTACACACTTCTATGCTGCATGCCTCAGGCACACACTTGCTTGTGTGCATGCCTCAGGCACACACTTGCATTTGTGCATGCATTAGCTACGGCAAAAGTGTGCCTGCAGGCATGCTCCAAGAAGTGCGTGCCTGGCACACAATTGAGTTTGCAGAGTACATACGAGGAAGCAACACAGAATGACAGTTAATCTAGTTTGTGCATTTCTCGTATCAATAGAGACGGTGGAAGGTCATTCAAATGTGTGGATAGAAATACATTTATACGAGAACCGTCCAAATTTTGTTTAACCAAGGCCCGGAAGTTTGCTAACACGCGTTTGAAGTGCTCATGCTGCTAGAAAACTAAACCACGGCGAAATCAGACCGGTAAAGCATGCATTTGTAGAGGATGGGGCACTTCGAACACCTTTGGGGCAGCCAGGATGCGTGCGAGCGCGCCCCTCGCAGTAGTCACTTCCTTCAATAAATTAAATGCGCGCATAACAACCGCTTGGCACCCAAACCGGGATGATATCTGTTCGGTAAGGCATGCTTTTGTAGAGGATGGGGCACTTCGAGGACCTTCTAGGAGGCCAGGATGCGAGCGCGCGCACGCCCTGCAGTCGCCAGGTGGGTCCATCAAACTCGATTCACGCATAGGAATCGATTGGCACTCGAACCGGGGTGATATCTGCTCGGTAAAGCATGCTTTTGTAGAGGATGGGGCACTTCGAGGACCTTCTAGGAGGCCAGGATGCGAGCGCGCGCACGCCCTGCAGTCACCAGGTGGGTCCAAGAAACTCGATTCAAGCATAGGAATCGATTGGCACTCGAACCGGAGTGATATCTGCTCGGTAAAGCATGCTTTTGTAGAGGATGGGGCACTTCGAGGACCTTCTAGGCGGCCAGGATGCGCGCCTATGCACCGCATACTATCGAGATTGGTGTCAAAATGACCGTCTTGAAGAGACGAATCGAATGAGCCCACTACCAAGTTGATCAGACGTCATTTAGCCGTCGTTTGTAGATGATTTAGCACTTCTTGGCCTCGAGCAGGATGAAGGAGCCCGATTTCGGCGTGGCACCATATCCAGATCGATAGAGCACCCCCGAAAACATAAAGTAAGACTATTATTTCGTTTTCATCACAAAGTGCAAGGTTGGCCTGTTTTTTGTCCCTTAACGTCCCCACTAAGTTGCACTGTGTGTCATTCGCGGGTTTCCAAGCCGCCGACGTCCCCGGCGAGCACGCCAGCCGGATATTCTGCACAGGGTTCCCGTTACGCCGTCTCCAAGTCTCGCCGCGGCCCCCGGCAGCAGCCCCCGGCTCCAAACAGCCTCCAGCTGGTGGCCCGGGGCAGTCGGCCGGCCGGCCAGCTGATCGGCACAACTTCAAGACGACCAGTGCAGGCGCACCAACTGCGGAGAGGCTGAGCGGGGTGAGCGACCATGGTGCCATCGTGACGCCTGGATGGAGGGTGTGAGAGAGAAAGAGAGAGACCTGAACCCGAAGGCGCCGGAGGCCGACGGTGCACGGCCCGCGGTACGGGCGTTCGAGGCGCTAAAGCACAGTAAAGGCGCAGTGGCGTGGAATGGCTGAATACGAAAGCAGCCCTGCGCGGCCATCGCCTACCTCGGCGGCCCTCGGCGGCCCTGGGAAGTGGGATGGTCCTGTTCACAGCGGCGTAATTGCCACTGTAAATGGGGATGGGGATCGCTACCTGGCGCCCTGGCGGGGATGGGATAGGTGAGGCGCGCGTTCAACGGCGGCCGTTTCACCATTTCACTATCCAGCTCGAGAGAGAACCGAGACGCAGGGCGACTCGCAAGGCTCATCTCCCGGCGCCCCGGAGCATCCGAACCCCCCGCGACCCAGTTCGGACGCGAGCGAGATGGAACACAGTCTATTCACTACACTGGGCAGAGACGCTCAGACTCTGAGAGTAAAAGTACCGGCAGGGAAGATGAACAACAGGCGAGAGAGACGCGACAGTTATAAAAAAAAACGCAGGCTATCTGTGTCACCTGCCAATACTCGCCGAATGTGTGGACGCGAGAAAGCGAACGTGCCGTGGACGCGTGGACGTCGAGAAAGTGGACGACGGCATGTTAATGAATGCGGGTGGGGCCACGGGGGCCACGGGGCGACTAGAGACGCCGGGGGTCCGTGGCCACGGAACAACAAATTCAACGCACATTAGCGTCCAAGCGTCACGCAGTTTTAAAATTTATAATTCACTGGCGATGGTTTCGGCGTCTCGCTGGCGCTGGCGAGGGCGCTGCCAGTGCACTCCTGGACCCTGGACCTTGAAAAGCGACCTCGACCTAGGGCAGGGCTTGGCGGGGCTTGGCGGGGCTCGCCGGCATGCGCGCTGCATTACGCTGCGCGGGCCGCTCTGCACTCACCTGCTTCTTCCACTTCGGCACGTACTTGGCGGGCAGGGCGGCGGGCAGCACGACGGCCACCACGACCACCAGCAGCCACAGTCTCTCCGGCGCCATGGCTGTCACGGCTCGCGATACCTCTCCGTCGGCGTCCTCGTCCTCGCTCTAGGCTGGGCGCGGACCAAGTTCGGCCCTGCGCTCCTCCAGGCCTCCAGGTACTGCCGTGTCTACACTGGCGCGTCGCGGCGGCGGGGAGGGGCTTGGGGAGGGGCGGCCCGGCGACGACTTCCCCTCCCATCCCCTTTCTCCGGCGCGCCTTGCGGGCCGTGCGGGCCGTGGGCCACGGCGCGGCCCTACCTTACCAACGCCCGGCCTTACCTGTCGGCCCCGGCAGGCCTGGGGCAGCCTCGGGCCGCCCTTGGACTTGAATTGTAAACAAAGCACAGAGCGCGGCGCGAGCGGGCGTCGAACCCGGATCGCGGGCTTCCCCGAGCCCGAGACCCCCCGGACCGCGCTCCTCTACTTAAACATGGCGTGCTTCGCGTCGAGGCGAGTGTCCAGCCTGCGTGCCGCCGCCGCGCTGGCTTCTGCCGCTTTTCTCTTCCCGGATAGATGGTTCTCGATAATTGAGGATAATCGTGATCAAGTTGGGGCGGCCTGGCAGGACTCTGGACGCGGGCCGCGCGGCGGATGTGGAGGGGCCTGGCGGCATTGCCTGGCGGTGCCCGGCGGCCTGGAGAGGTCAGCAGGCGTGGCCCGTGCACGGCCACAGCAGCAGTGGAGCGGAGCGGACTGACCTGGAGCCCTACTTGAGTATAGGTTCCTCCGCCTCAACAGTCCACGCCCGCATGACTCAACTCATAACTGTACTGGGCCGCGGCTCTCTCGCACGCCGCCTGTGTCTCGCTCTTCTCTCTCGCTCTTCCTCTCCCCGAGTCGCCGCGTCGCGTCGCCATGGCGTCGCCGCGTCCCACGGCGCTGTAGCGCGGCCGGTGCATCTCGCGATCGCGTCTTTGGCGCCGCAGAAGGTGCAGAAGGGCGGCCTGCCTTCCCTCTGACGTCACTGGCGGCCAATGGCGGCCCTTCCTCTCTCCCTTCGGTCTTCGGATGGCCGCCTTGACCTCACTGCGACGGCGTTTCCTGAGGAGCGCGAGAGAGACAGAGCGACGAAACGACTCTCCGGAATCGCTCGGAAGCGCAGGGTGTGCAGCAGCAAACTTTTGAAGCGTTTAACTTTCGCAGTTGTTGGAAAGTCATCAGCCATCCAGCATACCGGGCTCCATCGCGGCGCCGTCGCAGCGGGCCACAACGCGGTGCCTGGCCGTGCCGTGCCGTGTCGTGCCACGCCGCTTTCGCGACAAAAAAAAGTGCGCACACCGCTGCCCCCGCTGTCTCCTCGTCCTACCAGGCAGCGCAAAAACCCTGTGCACACAACATACCGAGGAGGCTTTGGCTCGTGGCCGAGCGAACAGGGACAGTCATTTAGCGACCTGAACAAGCCGTGTCTTTGAAGCAAGACAGCGGCAGGGCCGAAACGACCAGGGCATGAATGCGTAGCGGAAGGTACGGCCACGGCCATGTACAGTAGCGCTGGGCTCCACCACATACTAAAATGATTGCAGAGTAAAGCGCCTGGACATTCACACGCCTGAACTGGTGGGTGTTCAAAACCAGGGGAAACAGTTGGCGAGGCGATGGTGACATCGCAGGCTTGGATTCGCCATTCTCCGAGCGGCGCGACGCACGGCGCGGACCCTGTGTGAGAGGCAGGGCGCACAGTGGGCCAGAAGACCGGCGGAGGCGGCCAAAACTCTAGACGCGTTTTGAGCTCCAGAGCCGCTTAACAGGACTCGAACCGAACGTGTGACCCCACCACTGGATTCCTCGTTCGGAGAGCAATCCATTGGTGGGGTCACACGTTCGGTTCTAGTCCCATTTAGCGACTCCGGAGCTCAAAACGCGTCTAGAGTTTTGGGGCCCACTGTGTGCCGGCCTGCCGGGCAGCACCCGAGTGTGCACGCGAGCCGGAAGGGTGGCCTACCGCGCCGGCGGGAGGGAAGGCCGGCTGGCAGCCGGGCCTGGAGGCTGGGATCCTGTGGAACAGTGCACTCCCGACGGCTCTGCCGCCGTGGATCGGGCAGCCGTCTGATTCCGAGCACTGCTTTCGTCGCTCTGTCTCTCTCGCACTCATGGGGCGGTCCGTAGGGGTGCGAGAGAGACAGAGCGACGAAGCAGTGTCCGGAATCAGACGGCAGCAGCTGGATGCTTGGATTCCGAACAGCGCTTGGTCGACGTGTCTCTCTCGCACTCCTTCCGCGCGCTGTGCGAGTGCGAGAGAGACGGACGAGGACACTGTTCGGATTGGAGCTGCAGGACGAGTCCCCTTCCCAGGCTGTCGACTCGAGACTCGGGCGGCCAAGGCAGAGCCAAGGCCGTCCAGTACACTGCCTCCTCGCTCGCAACGCAACGCTGCGCGCGCTGCGCGTCCAGGGGTCCGCGGGCCGGGCTCCGTAACGCGGCGTAATGAACAACATTACCGCTCCACTACGAAAAGACAAGACGCTCCCATTTTCTGGCAGAGTGGAGGGAGTGACGTGGATGGCGAGAGGGGAGGCTGGAGGGTGGCCGGATTAGGCATCGCCACGACAAAGAGTGGCGTGGCACGGGAATCACGGGGCAGCGCCCTGCCTCTCTCGCGCCCTTGCGCGCCGCTCCGTGAGTGCGAGGGAGACAGAGCGACCAGTCTAATGACGTCACGGTGCAATGCTGGCCAGGCTGGCCGGGTGGCCCAGGTGGGGCGCGGCGCGGGACGCGGGGCCTCGGCGAGATGGAGGGGCCAAGCCCCGCGGCCCAGCGCCGAGCCGAACAACGAACAACACGCAGTGACGGACTGGGAGCGGCAGCGTGCACCTCGACGCCACATTCTGTCCACTTCTTCTGGGGTTTCCCTGACAAAACCAGCCGCCATGGTGAGTAAACTCGATAAGCTACCCTCGCTTCCCCCGAGCCGTGTTCAGGCGAGTAAGTTTGAGTGGTGGCGGTTGCCGTGGATCGGTACTGGTTCACCAATGGTTTGGCGCGCGAATACTCACGCACAACGATTCTTTGAAACAACTTTTCAAGTGGCTCGAAACTGTTTCAATCCTACTTTATCCCGCTAATGTTGTTCGGACGGTCGGTCTTTCGACGTCCTTCAGTTCACCTGGTCGGTCCACCCAGTTCCACCAGCTTTGTCTTTGTTTTCGTTGTTTGTCTCGGTCCAGCTGCCCATCCAGTGTCATGGCCCGGTGACGTCACGCGCCACAGCGAATCCATTTCCACATGGTCAATCCCCGATAGCGAGTTAGAATCGAGATTCGAGTAGGGGCCCACAGCCCAAAACTCGAGATTCAACGAGCTTGCAGTTAGCCTAGACGCGCTATGGGGAAAGCCCAGCCAAGCGACCGTCTCTTTCCATTTCTGGCATTAATTTTTAAGACCGAGGCGAAAAAGATGTAAACAACCGGCCGGTTGTCACGACTGGCTTTGAAGTCCCGTCTTCCAAGAAAACAGGGAAAAATAAACTGAGCAGACATTTAGTACACTAGAAAACTCGTATGGTTACTCAACGCTGGTGCACGGCTCGTTTACATAAGACAGTTCGGAAATGCTGGCGTGGGCGAGGCCCAGGGCGGGACGAATATTTTACAGTGTTGGGTAATCCCACTTTTCGTCCCCTCCTGAATGTTGGAGTGTGCAGTGGCCCTGGTCTCCATTTTCAACATGCTTCAATTTTTTATCATTTTTGTTACAGTGGCTGGGTGTGATAGGGCTGTTGGCAGTGTTGGGGGTAGGGGACTGCGGGAAAGTGGTGCGAGTCCCCTTCAAAGACTGCTATGTTGATGCCAATTCCCCCGAATCCATCTACAACTTCACCATGCTGGACCTCTGGGGCCAGCGAAACATCAGCCTCTCCGATTATAAAGGAAAGGTGGTGTTGATCACCAACGTTGCAACATACTGAGGACTGACCCACCACTACCATGGTCTGAATGCACTGAATTCCCACTTCAGAGACCTGGTAGTGCTTGGGTTCCCTTGCAACCAGTTTGGCGAGGTATGCATTTGTCCACTAGACAGACTGGCTGGCTTAAAAAGCAGTAACAATCATTTTAAAAATATTTTCTATTATTTTTCATTGCAGCAAGAGCAAGGAAATAATGCTACAGAAATTTGGAATGGCATCAAATATGTCAGACCAGGTCATGGCTTTGAGCCCAATTTCCAGCTGTTTGCTAAAATAGAAGCAAATGGAGAAACTGAAGTACCACTATACACATACCTCAAGGTAAGGTTTGCCAAATGCAAAAAAAATGCATTAAATTATCAATCTGTTAAAAGAACTACTGGATAACTTTGTAATGTTACTTTCAGAAAATGTGTCCATCAACAAGAGATGGACATGGCGAAACCAAGAACCTGCATTACTTCCCTCTAAAAAGTACAGATTTGCGCTGGAACTTCGAAAAGTTTTTGATTGACCGCACAGGAAGACCTTGGCGACGTTTTGATCCAACTTTCAACCCCATGGACATGTGGAGCCATGTAGAAGAGCTTGTGGCAGCACCTCCAGTAGCACCAGGGCGGAAGCACATACATGACTGTCTTTAGAACTCAAATGACTTGTGGAAATTATTTAAGCCAAATAATCATCCCATTGAATAAGAGCTACTTTATGACGTTGCAACTGAAAACCGTAATAGGTGGGTTGCCACAGATGTGTCTAGCTTGTCATGTCTACTGCATTCAGACATGGTATGTGAAGGCAATTAGTTTGAATTCATTGGAGAGGATATTTGGGTATAAATAACTTCAACAATAATTTTCATCTACAAAATCTTTAATGTAAAATGGAATAAATTATCAATAAAAAGGCACACAATGGATCAGTTCAGGATAAGATACAAAAAAAATTAATGGTATTGATTCATGAATTCCCTTAAAATCATTTCAACTTATATACAACTACTGCACAAATGTGACCTTTGTACGAGCCTGGTTCACCTGCCATACATTGAGCTCTTCATACTCCTCAATACATTCCATTACTTGGTCTTGATTGTATCCTTTGCTGGTACAGCGATCCAAAATTTCAGCCATTCGGACAGAACGCTGCTCTGCACCAATTTCACGGATAAGGCTGTATATTTTATCCACAGTGCTGACAACCCTGTATAAGAAACAAAATTAGTGATACTGTTGGATACATAGGAAAAAGTTATGCATACAGTAAAAACTTACTTCTGCCGATTTTCTTCAGAGTGGTTCAGAGAGTCCTTGGACATCTCAACAAGACGAATAGCTTCAATGACATCATCCTTCACAACAACATCAGACAAACGCAATCGAGCCTAGAAGAGGAGACCAAACGACTTCAGCAATCTTAAAAAGTAAAACATCTTAAATAGGAGATAAAAGGAATAAATTAGTATTCTCACCAAAGCAGTGGATAGACGGAGAACAGCTAAAAGATTTCTGGCGGATGTAAAGGTCATGTCTTTGCTGTTACGAGCTTCCTTACGCATTTCAACATAGGAACCTATGATAAGAAAGAAAAACAACAAATTAATGTCTTTGAAATCAATTTTCAAGTATTGTAGTTCTCTAGGAAAGATACTCACCAACAATGAAGTCAGAAAGATCAGAAGGGATTGCAGGCTCCTTCCTCTTGCATAGAGCAATGTACCTTCTCATGAGGCTCATATCTAAGGGCTCAACGAGACGTGGAGGTTGCTTGGAATGTTGGTGAACATAAGTGATGTGGTGGGCCAACCTGATGTACATAGAAAGACAAGTTAAAACACACCATTTCCATGAATACAGAAAAGTTTATTGAATTGGTAATACCTGAGATCATTATCACGATCAGGTTTATCTTGAATGAGCCAAAGTAAATCAAATCGAGACAATAATGCAGCCGGTAATTGGATATTTTGTTCAATGGTACGCTTGGGATTATAGCGGCCATATGCAGGATTAGCAGCTGCAAGAATGCTTACTCTGGCATTTAGGGTTGTCATAATGCCAGCCTGAAAAATCACAAAAAGTAAATTAGGAACAAACATACCACAGACAACGGCATATCCAGTCTAATCTAAATGTTGTTACCTTAGCGATTGAGATGGTTTGCTGTTCCATTACTTCATGAATGGCAGTTCTGTCTGAATCAGCCATTTTGTCAAACTCATCAATGCAACAGATGCCTTGATCAGCAAGCACTAAAGCTCCTCCCTCAAGCATCATCTCTCCAGTCAAGGGGTCTTTCATGACAGCAGCTGTCAGACCAACTCCAGAAGAACCTCTACCAGTGGTGTACTGGCCTAGAATCAAATACAAAGCATAAGCAATGCTAGTTCAACCAAATAGAAAATTATTCATTCAATTATTTAGTATAATACTTACTTCTTGGAGCTAGACGGTCGATGTATGAAAGGAGCTGAGACTTTGCAACACCAGGGTCACCCATAAGACAAATATTAATAGATCCTGCAAATAAAATACAAGTTACTTAAAATATCAAACAGTACAAAAGATTAAAATTTGATTTAAAAGTACTACTTGCCTCTGATTTTCATTCCATCAGGTCTGCGATCAACACCACCGACTAAAAGTAACAACAGTGCCTTCTTGACGTCTTCATGTCCATAGATCTCAGGAGCAATGCTGCTGGCTAGCTTGTTGTAGAAATCCTCATCAATGAGCTTCTGCACCTCTTCCTCAGTCATATCTCCAGGCTTATCCATATCCTCTTGACTTTTGTTCACTACTAATACTCGCTGCAGCAAAACAAATCAAAGTTAATTAAGGGTCAAAAACAACATCCTTGACTTAATTTAATTGGGAATGTTATTCTCACATGAGCCTCCAAATATGTTTCTGACAAAAGCCCCTGAGCTATCTGTTTGAAGCCTGTTTTGAGAAGTGGGAGGAAAATACCAGTGACGGCCACATGGTCGCCAGGAATAGCCTGTCTTGTAGTTTCTCCTCGACAGAGTACAGTCAAGCTTCTTGGAATGTTGCCCACTGGAACTTGGTCGCTCTGCAAACAAATGGGCATGTGTGTCAGGTCATCAAAATGGGACACTTCAGATCCAACTAAATGAGAAAAATAAATAACATACATGTTCCTGGATTTTCAGTTCTTGGAACTTAACAAACTTAGAACCACGAGTCTGTAAGTACAGCCTGCCACCTGATTTATTGACTCTGCAGTCATCACTTGGGCACATTTGCTCAGGCATGAAGGATAAAGAACCAATGGGTTGATAGGTTTCAGCTCCACACTGATCACAAGTATATGTGGCCACTTGCATCATAGGTTTTACTTCTGTGCATCGTGTCACAATGCCACGAACTGATACAAGCTGGCCAATGTGCTCCGCTTTCACAAGGCGAACAGGCGTAGATTTCATGCTCGAAGGTTCTTTGAAGTAAATTTCGCTAAAAAGTGAAGAACAAGATACACATCAGAAATCACATTAATCAAGAGAGTACACAAGACGGTCAAATTACTTACAAACGCCGCATGAGTTCAGGAGGGTACTTGTTCTGAGGATTGCGTTGCTCTCCAGGACGCCGGTTTCGTTGCTCCATGAGAATACGGTGCTCAATGTAGACATCCAATGTATCTTTGTTAACCGCCTCCTTTTCCTTGAACAATGGGAGTAACTCCGCAACAACATCTCCAACAATCTGAGAATAGCGGCGGGTGTTCTCAATAACTGACGCTGCCAAATCTGAATCAAAATCTTCAAGGTCGTCCAAGTCCAGAGTCAGGGCCACCTTAGGAGAATTAAAAATTACAAATTTGTGTTGACAAGAGAAGTTCTAGCAGATAAATGCATCTCAGATGATAAACACAAGGAATCAGCTGGGAAGTTGAAAGGGTACCTGCTCTCTGTGGGCCAGATTGGTGAGTTGGGTAGCATACTTGAACTGCTTGCGCCCTTCATCATCTTGAGTGTAGAATTCTTGAAGGAACTGCTTTATCTTCTCTGAAAATGGTAAATGTTGGTTGATACTAGCAGTCTAGAGAAACAACAGGTCGTTTGACAAAATGACACAAACTCCTAGAATACCTTTGTCAGCATCATAATCCCTTGTTTTCTTCGACATCTTCAGGCGATATGTGAAATTGGAGGCTGAACAGAAAGCCAATTACGCCGATAAGTGATAGAAAAAGGCGAATTTGAGAGTAACCAAGAGTAGCGGCAGCCTTTTGTGATGCCGACTGTTGTTTTGGCGCGAACGTGAGTCTGCTGTTTTCGTACTGCCAATAACATGTCAAGCGCTCTGCGAATAGGGACACCGTGGAGGTTGAGCGCGAAGGGGACAGTTATATGAACTGTCTATTTTACAGTACAAAGCTCATCAAAGCTTTTTAACCTTGTTCCGCGATAACCTTCGGTACACGAACGATTACCAAGCAGCTGTGATTGTGGGCCCCATTCTTGCTACCAAATGATGCATCTATATATTCAATTTTGAAGTGTTTGTGAAGCTAGTGGGATCAGAAGGTTTTTAATCAGGCCAGTTAGATAAAATGTTTGGTCTTTTGCAATATATTCAGACAAAATATCATTAATCACACATACAAAGTTGCCCTCCATTGGTTTCAGCCTATCTACATGCCTTCTAAAAACCCCAACAGTTGCACAACCGAAACGAAAAAGGAAAAAACAAATCTTTTAAATCAAAGTCAGTTCTTGCCTGCACAGCTTCAAAAATAACATAACAATCTCAAAATTCATAAATGCACGGGTTTGTGAAGCAAATGCCTGTGCAGTTCATCAAGTTCAGGCAGAAAATAATTAACATTACATGTTTTTATCTACCTTGTGCATCACACATTAAAAATTTAAGCAACCTGCAAGCGTACACTGATGCTCACTGTTTTAAAAAATACTACAGCGCGGTGGTAAATGCCTCCTTTCTATACCATCTGTATTTCTTGTGGAATGTTAGAACAATTAAGATCTGCCCAAGGAATCACAGAAAATTTAGCATTTAAGCTTTCCATCTTATTTATTAATAATCTGTATAAATAAATAAAACATAAATAAGTTGACCCACACACACAAAAACAAAAATATGACTGACATTCTAAAGAACGTCCTGTAACACAATGCTCTTAAATAAAATTATTTTACATAGTACAGTATAAAGCAAATAAAAATTTGAAGCATCTTTTTAAAGGTAGGAGTGAGTACAGATAAATGAATAGATACAGTATTTCTTCATTGCTGTTGATAAGGAAAATAAGTTTTCCTGTGAACTAAATACTATTATTGTCAAAATTTTTGATAATTGTCTTTTGACTTTATTTATCCCTTTCTATTTGGCATTCATTTCAGCTATAGTAAAACATGAATGCTAAGCTCAATGACAAGGAAGCAGTATTCTAGTAACATGTGGAACTTAAAATAAACCCAAAATCAAACAGACACAGTAGTTCACAGTTCCCTCACTTGGGGGTTCAAAATTTAATGGATTATAAAATGATTCCAAAGATCGATTAACAAATATGTATGTTGGCAACTACTGGGCAAAATTTAATTTGCTTCCTACCAGTCCATGAGCATGGTAAAACATTCCACAAGTTTTGTGCTAATACATCACTGTTTGACATAAGTCCTGACTAAACTTGAACTTCACAACAAACAATACATAAACTTGGTTTGAAGCAGTTCTCATCAGAGCAGAACTGATTACATCAACCAAAATAATAGCAAAACAGCCAGAGTTATGAATTTTGTTTAAAAAAAATGCACAAAAATCGATAATACAAGAGTGTGATGAGTGACAATATCATGACATGATCAATCTCACTGCAATTTTATCTTAGGTAACAATCATTGTTAAAAACACTAAACAATGGTAACGACAGATCAACAATGACTCTACAACTCCTAAAAACCTGCAAATTTGCTACCACTGGGCTTTATAGGTTGGCAGATGTTCCCGTATCTTGCTTTAGATTCCCCCAGTGGGTAAATCATCATCCGAATAGTCATCAGATAGGGCACATGCTGATGAACGACTACGGCTTGATCCTGCTGAATATTCAAGGCGACACGCTTTGGGAGGGGGTGGGCTGTACAGAAAGTGATACATAAGAAAAATTGGTCATACACAATACAGACAATTTTTACCACTTTCTGCATCATAACTTACCTTGTTTCCTCAGCTTCAGCATCACCATCACTTGAATCATTACCTCTCCCTGGACTTGAAGGGGGAGACAGGGCCTGCATTAACCGTCCCTTTCCCTCATTCCAAATATGTGACTGGAAAGTTAAACATGACCTCAGCAAAAAGTGCAAAAATGGAAAAATAACAGCACTTCTTTATTCAATTTTTAAAATCTACTCTTTTTAAAAAATTTACTCACCAATCTGCCTTCTCTTCCAAATAATAACAGAAAAGTGTCAATGAAATCTCTCGATTTCTCTTCCCACTTTTGGATCATATCTATGCGTTTTTCACCAATGTTTTCTATCACTCTCTTTCCTTTGTCTTTAAGTTCATCCATTTTATTTTGTAGACGAAATTTCTTTTCCTAAAGGAAAGTTTAGAATTTTTGTTTTGAACGAACACAAAAAACAAACAATGCACTCCAAAAGTATAAGGAAATGAACAATACTTACATTCAGAAATGAAACATTTAGTTCCTTTGCGCTATAGCCACGGGCCAAATTCCGTCTTACATAAACATCATAATCTCGAACAATTCTTGCAACAATGTCAGAGGTAGAAACACCTTCAGTCCTTTCTGTTGCTGCAAACATTCCTCTGTCTTTGATAAACTTATACACATCATTGACATCCTCCGTAACATACGGAATATCATCATGTGCCACAAAGTCAATCTGTAGAAAACAAAACAAAACTTTAAATAATTGTAGCTAATATACTAATAATATACTGATTTCACAAAATTTACCTTGTGTTTATTTAAGAACTCATCATCCAACTCCCATGGTGAGTCTTTGATGATTTCATCAACATATCGGCAGTGTCTTACAGCTTCAAACCGTTCATCTTCAGTCATCACGGTGCGGCCCTTTTTCATGTGTGTTTGAGAATCACCATTCACTGGTGAAGTCGCAAAGTTGTTAATAATGTTAAAAATGATGAACGTATTAAAATAATGTACCAACAAGACAACCTACCTCCAACTATGAGGTAAACATTTGAAAACAAATTCTTGGCTTGTAAAAGTTGTCTTGCGTGTCCTTGATGAAATAAATCATAAATGCCATCCGCAAATACTCTGATAGGCCTCGGGGCTACCAAATAAATACAAGTGATAATTATGAAATGCTGTCACACAAACTGAAACACAACTATGAAAAATACCAACCATTGCCAGCCTTTGCTTGTTTAAAGGTGATTCTGATACTGTAATCTACCTTTTCTCTGATTGCTATAGCCTCTGGGTCATCGCTAAACGGTGCCATTGTTTTCACGGACTGAAATCAAAGCAGATAAACGAAAAACGTAAATTTGCAATACTGAGCAAACAGTTTAACTAGTGTGGGTGCAAAACTAAATGTTTAACAAATTGTGATGGGAGTTAGTATGTACATGCCACAAACAGAAATTTCAACACTCACACAGAACTTAAAGGATCAACTAATACTACACAATATTAGTGAGATAATTACATTCATTGTGAACTCCCCCTGGGGTGGAGTGTGATTAGTAGCAGCTTGAACTTCGGTTGTCGTGTTGCTGGTCTCCTCTTCACGCATTCTTTTTCTCGACATTATATCGGTTTCTGTTATAATAGTCTTTCCAGGAGGGACTGAAATAAAGAAAATTATCCAATTTGACTGATGAAGAATTGCGGAGAAAATTTCAAGCTACAGTAGTTCCTCAAAATTAACACTACACACAAAGTACTGTTGAAATTTTTGTAAATAGAAAATAAAAACTAGTCTCTGAGATGCATCAAGATCTTAATAAGACTCTAAATGTGATGTAATAATCATTTTCATACAAGAAACTTAAAATACTAAGACAAAGAGTAAAGAACCGCTGGCAGTTCATAAAAATGACAGTAGTTTGGAAGACAAAACCCTAGTAGGCAATTGAGATTCATTAGAAACCGTAGATGGGGCAGGGTAGTAGATTCCAGCTAATAATTACAACTCCAGAACTTCTCCAGCAGGGCAACATAACCAACAATTTTGACTGAGCCTAGGTCCCCATTTAACGCAGAAAAGAGAGCGAAAGAAACGAAACACTAAGTCGATTGCAATAACAGGAAAAAGCTACACACCAGCACCAGCTGTAGCTCCTTGAAAGGAAGTAAAATCAAGGTCAGGGCCGATATGGCCACTTAATGGTCAGATAACGGCAACCGAGGAAGTACACTGCAACACTGCAATATCTGTTCTGCTGGGCGGCAGCGGGGCCATTGGCCAATGACGTACACAGGACTGGGGGAGAATGCACTTCGGCTCTGCGGGTTTAGACGTTTTGACCCAATGGATGGAGCCAGCCAGTCCGCCACCAAGTCGTGAATGAATGAAACCTTTCCCGGAGTTGTGTAACGGTAACGGTCTGTCCAGTGATGCACCACCACTACCACCACCGTGCACACAGAGTGCAGACGACGCGACACTGAGGACGCGGCCACTAGGCAAGCGACACTGCCCTCACACGGGTCTCCTTGCGACACGTCTATCTAGACGGCTCCCATCACGGCTGGAAGACGCTGGGGAACGACGGAAAACTACTGTGCGCTAGTGCTCGGCCGTTGCGGCCCATTGTTAGCCGGTCGAGGGAGGCCGCGCCTGGCCGCCGCGCCGAGACTCGAACCTACCTTCCGCGGAGTCGCGGCCCGCTTCCGAGTTTCGTCCCCGGAAGACTCGCCTCCACACTCGCAGCAGCAGTCTTCGTGAGCCTCGGGACCGACTCGATCCGAACTTTGAGCGTGGGCGTGCGGGACGGATAGTGGTGCGTGTGCTTGAGCGTGCTGCGTGAAGGGGTGCGTCAGCTGTCAGCTGGCTGCAGCCGATGCCAGGCGGGCAGTCAGGCAGGCAGCCAGGGATGCAGCAGAGGGGGGAGGGGAGGCGTGAACAGAGGCAGTGCTTCAGTGCCGCCAACCAGAGCCACCAGAGCCACCGGGAGGCTCGCCCCGCGCGCCCTCCTCGCGTGCACGCACCTGCATCGTGGCGAGCATGTGCTGGCGCGGCGCGGCGGCTCGCTGGACGGCCGCGGGCGACGGGCAAGCCAGGGGCAAGCTCGGCACGTGAACTGGGGAGCGGCCGATTGGCTGATCATAGTCTGGCTCGGACACGCGGCATCGCCTGGCATAGCCAGGCATGGCGCCATCGACCGACGACGGGGTTGGCTGGGTTGGCGAGCCCTGCGCCGCCCCTCCCCTGGCCCTTCCCCCGCGCGCTGCCAGCGCTGCCCTTAAACTTCCGGCCTCCCTGGCCCTTGGGTGCCCTTCGGCCGGTCCTCAAGGCCCAAGGGCCCGAGGCTGCCCAAGCCCCCACCCCTGCAACGTCACATCGGCTGATGTGGTACTTGAACACGACGTCACCATCATCCATGTCACCACGCAAGAGGAGCTCTTATCACACCATCGCCGGCGTACGCCGTGGGGGGGGGCAATAATTCCACGCCAGACCATCCATACCCCTAAAATCGATAGTCATGGAATTGGCCGAAATAGGTGTCAATCCACTTAGAATGATCCCCTGAGTCACCCTACCCTGCAAATTTTTGCGCCAATTCCAGGCATGAAAAACTTATTTTGTGGCATCATAAATTTCTCATACCTGGGAGTGGCGCAGTGCAAGCGGGCGATTCAAAAAGTAAACTGTCGTGGCCAGGACAACTTTCGTTTGAAATGATTTGATTTTCTTGTTTATTGTGGTGTTGCCCATGTAATGTGAGTTCCAATATCAGTCCGAGAGTTTCTCCCGATGGAGTAAAGGAATGAATCTACCAAGTGTTGACTTCTTGATCAGGCCAGTAAAGTGAACCAAGAGGAATACTCAACCTTTACTTTGATGTCTTTGTAAACATATTTTTACTCGATTACCCAAATATCAACTTGGAGGTTAAACGCTAGAAAATCTACCTCTGAAACTGAAATGTCTAATTTGGAACGACACGTGGTGGTGATGCCTGAGCTCGAAAGCGATTTCAAGATTTTACACTAGCTCTCTTGGTTCATGCTGTTTAAGTTTTCGAAAAAAATGTGGAATTATTAAGAAGCTGGGCCGGAGCTAAAACTTTGTGGGCTGTTCGACCAAAAATAAGTGAGTTTTGGACCCAGTATATTGTCAAAATCGAAGCACCGGCTATTTTTGCTAGCTCCATTTTTGTGAAATTTCCTTCGAGTTTTCTTGATATTCTTCCAGTTTTGCAACTTTTTCCAAATATTTTTCTCTTTTTTAATAAAAGAGCCTTTTGTGAAGCCAAAGAACCCTGGCTGTGGCTGGTCCCAATCTGCCTTTGCACATTGCATCGACAAAAAATTTGAATTGCCATTAAAAGTTTCATGCTGAGGCAAATAACAAAAGGCCGCTTGAGCGAGCGCCGATTGGGTGAGTGGGCCAAGGAGATACTGCGCCCATAGAGGGAGGAAGAGAGGCACGGCAAGGGCGCTTTAGTCGGACACTGACGCGCTTTCCGCGTCGTTAGATCGATGTCCGATCAGGGGAAGCGCGGGGGGCAGAGGCTGGCAGAGGCGCGCTCGGGTATCGATTACTCGTCGAGCGCAATGCTGCCCGCCGCTTAATACAGGCGCCTGCAAAGACAAGGATAGGCAGTCCCGCTCAACACCTGGACGGAGCGGGTGGCCTACCCTGTCCTTTGCAGGCGCCTGCACCTTAAGATGGGATGCCTCGACAGACCAGGATAGGAAGAAGAGAATCTCGCTCAAGAGCGGGTGGCCCGTGGCCCATCTAACCATCCGTCCAGGCGTCCAGGGCCGGGCGTCTAGGGCCAGAATGCTGCAATGGGAAGCAGCTTTTATGGACCGAGGAAAAAAGACATATCTCCCACTTCTTTGTCTTTAATGAATAAATCATATTATTTACACTGATCGAATGACAATAAACAATACTTGACAACAAAATAATCCTCACCGACATAAATAGTTTCCAGTCATGGAACAAAAACAATCCATCCGAATACAAATATATATATTTACAATAAAACCGAATGACGAGTCGAATGAGGTGGTCGGTTCAGCAGTGAATTAATTTTTACGAAATAAGTTGATACACCTTAAAATAACAAATTTGTTCTCTGAAGAAACGACCACGTGGCCAATATTAAATTAAATACGCTAAGGAGCCAAAGTGAGTGACGAACGTCAAACAATAAAATTAATGATAATAATAATATAATAATAATAGTAATAGTAATAATACAGTTTGTCATGGGTTTGACACAGCATCCCTTACGAGGGGTCGGCATGACCGCGTCACCAATGCTGCGTCACTGTGAATGCCACCCTGAGGATGACACCCACGCGCATTGGCAACGCAGCACAGCGAAAATATCACAGCGCATGTAAAAGTGGCACGAGAATGCCTTCAGGGCTGCGCCAAACACGGTTAAAATTCGATTGTAATATTACAACACAATCACCTTAAAATTACAACAGTTGTTGTTTAGTATCTGAGAGGGAAATCCATCAAAAGACAACTCATTGGTTCTATATTCCAACTTCCTTTGTCAGGTAACAATAATGTAGCCATGACTAAAAACAGACATGTTGTCGTTCAACAGATTGTCTGAATGCAATCTTGGCAAATATTGTTGCCAGATTACAAGGATATTGAATTACAACACGATGTGACCAACACAAATGCTGCCAGGACATAATCGAAGACTCGACGGAGCTCATCGCACTACAATTGATCCCTCAGAAAACAGCACTTAGAGCTACAATGTGTTTGTAATACAACAATATGTGTTGCTATTAAATATCACAGCAAAACTGTTGTAAAATTACAACGATTTTTTTAACAGTGAAGGCAGCAATGACCCAGCGTGCCCTTCAACGGAACACGAGTGCCTCAGAAATAAAAACTTCAGCGCATGAGCGTGTACAGCGCCCAAGGGTTTTATTTGTTTTCAAATATTTGTAATAAAATAAATTTGGATTCAAAGGCACCCGTGCCCCCTCCAATTTTGTCACCTCGGTACCTAAGAATCGGACGTCATCTTATAATTATTACATTCCTTTCGTCGCAACGATCGCAAGTCGTTAGATTTACCGTTTTTGTTTGAAGCGCAACGCGTTTATTGCCGCTTGCTAGGATTGGTTCATGGCTATCATCTATACTAATTGAGTTGTAAAACTAATTTCGAATTGACTAAATTCGCTTCTAGAATGTTTTTTCTTTCAAATTAACCATCTGGATACACCACTATTGAGTAAGTCCTAGCGTCACATCGTGACGGGAATGATAAACAGTAAACAGTCTACCGTTGTGGAATTATCTTACATTGACTACTATTTGGACCTATTACCGCAAATCTTCGGATCAACGTACAAAACACAAAATTTCTTATTATCACTAAACGTTTTGAAACAACGTCTGACACTAAATGAATGGTTAAGTTTCTTTATCCAGCTGGTGGCTGTGCCAAATTTCGTTTACTCTGACAGCCTGCAATGGTTAGACGTCGACTTGAAAGGGAAGACCTGGAGTTTAACGCTAAAAGTCTTACGGAGAAATTTTTCAGATAACGAGGGGAATGGAGCAAGCATAATGCGAAGTGTTTCTTCGTAACACGTATCTCAAGTGAAAATCATAAGAAGATTAATTTGTAGCATGAGTTTCTTGCTTTGTATGATACTCTCGCCGGAATAATTGTTGGATAAAACTTCGCCGTAAGACTTTTGGCGTACGCACAGCATGCGGGGTGGGGCAGGGTCGGGGAGTGTCTGGCTGGCCAAGCCTCTGCCTCCCCACTCTCCTTCCAGAGATAAATGCAATGGATCACAGACACTTTCCGAGCTCTATCTCACGATAGGCACGTCACCGTACTCTAAGGAAAACATTTTACCACAAATCCTGGTCCTAACCAGGGAGGAACGCGAATTCCTACCAGATTTCCGCAGAACAGCCCGCTGATATGACTGGCTGGATTGTCTGCTCTTGACCTTTCCACAGTAATGTGGCGACTAAATCTAGGCAGTTCATCCCTTTGGAATAGCTACCTTCACACTGTTTAGATTACAATCACCCGCGTTTTTTTAGAGTAAACGTGAACTTAGCCTTGAAAAATGAAAGATTTCGCATCTACAATGGGAAACGAAAAATATTGAGAAACGTATAGTGAGCTCATCAAACATTTCCGTGCATTTGAGTAATTTAAAGGTTTTTGCTTACTGACCTACGGTTGTTTCTAAAGTTACCTAACGTCGTAAGTACGTACCGGCCCCATTGCGAGATCACATCCGCAAATTTGATATTCAGCATTTAAATATAGTGAACAGTAAAACATGAAATTTGCAGAACAGGGACATATTTCTAAAACAACCTGCTCACTATGTATGGTAAAACCACATTTCAACTAATCTACTCACGTTCACGGTATTTTTTCAGAACCTTATACGATATTGTTCCGTGTTGATAAAGACAAAGTAACGAGTGCAAATCGATTGCTAAACGACAGTGATACAGTGCCATCATAATGATAAATTTTCTACGGTATCATCAATGTTTAAAATCCATTCCTAACTCACGGCCCATCTTTTATGTTCTTTCCGTTCACTCGGCGCAGATATTCAACTACCCTAATGATGATTTTCAGGTTGGGGAGCGCTGATGTACGCTTCCCGCGCGGATATGGTTGTTGTTGGTGGCCTGTCCCGTTTAGAAGGTGGGCTTGAACGTGAGGACGCCGTAGCCCCACAACGTTCCGAGGACGGCCTGCACCAGGTAGATCGTCCGGACAAACGGGGACACCAACATGCCGAGGGTGAAGAGCGCCAGGATCACCAGGTCCATGAACAGGGAGTCGCCCCCGTACGTCATTCTGGGGCCCCACGAGGAGAAGGAGCGGCTGTTGTAGTAGTCGGCCATCATCCTGCAACAAGAACGGGGCACGTTTCTTCACACGAACGAAACGTCTTATGACTCTCTTCGATTGCAGCTATCGAATTTAGCCTATCGAACAAAGTCGATCACCTCACCAAAGTATTTTTGCCGTGGCTGCAGCAGCCTCATGGCCTCATCGCGCACCTCGACGCGCCATCTCACGCGGCAATCGATCTAATAATAAATTCTGGCGTGTCTCCCTCCGCGCGACATCCCAGCATCACTTCGCACATCGCCCTTCCACCCCTCTGGGCCCTCTGGGCCCTCTGGGTAACGAGGCTACTGAGCCGCGCGAGCCGCGCCGGGAAGGCGGGGGAGGGGGAGGGGGGGGGCACGCAGAGCGTGGCACAGCGCGTGGAGTGCGGCCGGGGCAGCGCCGGGGCAGCGCGAGGACGTCACGGCATATTCGTTGCCGCTGTTCTCTTTTGCATGAAATGCCAAAGGGTCGATGCGATGCGCCGCGCTGCCGCGCTCCACTACCCGGCGGTAGCGCTCCATCTCTTTGCATTACCCTCTCTTCCGCAGCGCCCTCCCCCCGCCCCACTCCCGCAGATCGAGCCGACCGATGTGCGATCCTCTTTCCGATCCCAGCCGTCGCTCTATCCCTCTCGCACTCCCTCGGGGACGCCCCGCGAGTGCGAGAGAGACGGTGCGACGGGCTTGCAGCAGCTTGCAGACTCACCTGTCCCTGTCCTGGCACTGGGCGAACAGCCAGGTCGCGAAGGCCGTCTCGTCGTCGGGCACCTCCTCGATGGGGATGCGCTTGACGTAGAGGTGGGAGTCAGTGCAGCCGCCGGCCAGCACCTCTGCAAAACACCCACGAGATGCATTACTGTGGGAAGCGGATGTGTCCTAAGCGGGGGGGAAACGACTGAGAAATTTTGTGTACATCGGATAGGGATTTCTGGTTCGAAATTTCTGGTTATCCGGATAACGGATTACCAATTTGCTGTACACCGGATAACCGAAGTCGTTTCCCCCTCGGTCCTAGGACTTGCGCCCGCTCCAGGAAAACCGACAGGTCCGCAAAGACCTGTTCCGTCTTCGTTTCATTGTTTTTTCGTCCGATGCCGATGCCGGTCGTCATCGGCTGAATGGGCACAAAAAAGGACGCCCAATCCCGGGCAATAAAAGCGACGTGAGTTCGGCGGCAAGACGAGGCAAGACGAGCCTCCGGACTACTAGTCGGACGTCCGTCGGAGGCGGGCCAACAAGGCGGGCCTAGTCCTTCCACTTCCCCCACCCACTTCCCGCAAACCTGAACCGAGTGACGTGGACACTGGCATTGGCCTACTATCTGTAAGGTTAGACGGGCCAAATGGTGCCCATGGACCTCCCATTCCACGGGTCTACGGGTTGATTGTTGAATTCATAATTTATCCTCAGTGATTGAGGAAAAGGGGGGGGGGGGAGGCTGTGTTCCCCGATCGCCGCTTGGATTAGCCTCACCGCGATGCGCGCACTGTAAAACTGTGTTGTCACTTTACAGTTTTCAGAATTGGCGCGCGCGAAGGCGAATTTATTTTGCGATCTGTTTCCACTTTTGCAACTCACCGGTGGCGGTCGGGGCCCTCCTGCGCTGGCCCTTGGGCTCGGCCTGCTCGTAGACCAGCGTGGCGCTGTACACCGCCTTCAGCTTGCTGCGCATGTTCTTGATCATGAGCCACGTGCCTTTGGCCTTCGGCGTCAGTTGCTGAAACACCGTCAAATAAGTATACACTGTTCCGTAAAACGCGGCGAATTCTGTTTCGGGTCGAAGTTAATTAAACGGATCTAGGTCGATTTGGCGTTCAAAACGGAGCGCCAGGGAGAAGACCATAATGGATTTTAGCATTGCCAACCGACAAAGAAAGTGTCCCACACGCCCAAACGAAACATCTAACAATTTTGATCGTTTTGGGCTTAAAAAAAATTACAGGGTAGTGACGAGTCGTTCTTTGTCGGTTAGACGGGCAGAACCCAAGAGGAAGAGACACTCACGTGCTTGAGCAACCCCATGTTGGGGTACTGCTGGACGGCGGATTCGTCGGAGCTGGCGATGGCTTTGGTGTCGTCAGGGTTGTAGCGAGTGCCTTCCGGGTAGATGGCCAGCCAGAACTGGAGACAAAGACAGAAGATGTAGAACGGTGATGCATTTTACGCCCCTGAAAGGCCAATGCTATTTTCTTAGTCGTCAAAGTCCTTAGTCGAATTTTCATTACTCTTAAATCTAGTATAGTTTCTGTTCAATTAGCACTATTTTTTTTGAGACCCTGGCCCGCTTCCATGCCACACTTTTCTCCTTCACGTAATTACTAGAGGACCAGCGTGTGTTTTCCACGCAGAGGAGCAAAACCCCAAAACTTCCATTAGCAGTGGTGACGCGAGGTCAACGACGGGCTGGGCTGTCCGGCTAGCCGGCTAGCCCGTCACGGAGAGGCAAGTCGAATTGCTCTCTTCCCGCTGCCGCGAAAAAAAGAAAGAGCTAGGAGTAGGAAGCGATAGGCAGGAGGGGGCCAATGTGTTCTTAGCTCCTCTGCGTTTTCTACCGACCTTTTTCAATGCAAAGAAACAGAATTCTGCGAGGTAATAAAGTCAACCATCTAACTGCAAGTGCACTTTTAAAATATTTTATCCGCTGCTGTGTTTTTTTTTTAGTTCGGGACTCCAGTGAGTGTGAACTGCCCCATTCCACGGGCGTTCCCACGGGCACTTGACTTGCGACGGTCATCCATGCGCTCTCTCGGAGCAGCCCATTAGACGAAGGAAAAATAATCGCAGCTGCACGATGCAAATAAAATGACTGGCCGTTTTTTTGGCAATCGCGGGTCGTGCCAATTTGTGTATGTGTGAACTTTCCCAAGACTGTCGCCTTAAAAGGCGGTGCATTTTGTACGCCGTTTCCATTGTTTCTGCACAGCTTTTTCACCCTTTTTGTCAAGACTTTTCGCAGACGTTTCAGCTTGATGTAGTTCAAAGGGGTGGGTGAATACGCACCGGCCTCTTGGTGTTGTTGATGTCGGCCAGGCTCTCCATCAGCTTGTCCGGCTTGAAGCCCTTCCTGCGGATGTAGATGTGGCCCACCACCTTGGTGTAGTAGCCGATCATGGGCAGCCAGGCCAGCTCCTGCTTCATCATGAATCTGATGCGCTGCAAGGACCGCGACCACGATGCCAGGGAGCACGCCACCAGCCAGTCCACTGGAAAACAAAGAAAGAATTTGCAAACCGTTTCATATCTTAACGACAACTATTCACTGCAATTCCACGCCAAATGAATGGAATTTAGGTGTTTTTATGTTCTATTCGCCAAACTTAATGACACTGCGTGAGAGTCTCTCAAGAAACCACGCGCAAAAGGTTTGGCACAACTAGCACGCAGAGGTTTCTTTTCGTTTTTTCGGCGTTCGTCAGAAGGCGGCATTCCATGTCCATGGTCCGGCCCCAAGTTAGTTCTCGATGCCTGCGTCATCCGACCCCATGCGTCCGTCCAGGCTGAGGTCCAGGCCCACCAAACCTTCATTCATTTTGTTTTCGCGACTGCCGCTAGCACTAAGGCCCCTTCCGAAGTGCGTCACTGAATTGAGTTCAGGAAACTCGAAGGGGCTCGACATACTTGGGAGCCGGGCTCATCACTGGGGCAAACTCAAAATCTTTTTTTTTCTCTCGCGGATGTGGGCATACCACTTCTCACTAACAGACGACACCACTTTCGAAAACATTACTCATTTTTACTATGACAAAAACATATACAAATGACACTCACGTGATGACTGGTGGTTCCCCATATACAGGACGTTCTCATCTCTCCGCTGGAGCTCCTCGAAGTCACCGTACAAATGGACCTGGTGAGGTATAAAATAAAATAGGAAGGTGAGAATCCGACAGCACCACTTGGCGGACCGCGAGATGGTCTCGCACATGTGTTCCTGGAGTGTGCTTTTACGCCTTTGTTCAAGCGTAGCTTGAATGAAGCTGACGCTTCAGTCTCACCAGTGCAGTGGCTGGAAGGCTTACCTTGAGACCGGGAGCGCGGACGAAGAAGAAGACGGCTATCCTGATGAAGTACGCGAAGGCCTTGTCCTTGAGGGCCATGCTGTCGACGGCCACGAAGAAGGCCAGCACGCAGGCCATGTGCCACATGAAGCTGAGGAAGGGGACCAGCGCCACCAGGGACACGGCGATGAAGGCGAGCGCCACTCCGCTCAGCTGCGGCCTGCAACACACAATTGGATTAGACTGGTAGGAAAAGCGGCACGCGGTCGATGCCGCGTTGAGGGTGCAGGGCAGGAGTACGTCCCAATGCCTGGCTTCGTGCAGCAAAGGCAAGTCCTCTACAAACTCAAGTGTGTACATAGTACACTCCACCTGGGAGTGTACATGCATGTACACTTCAGGTTGGCGTGTACCTTCAGGTACACTGTTGCTGGCTCCCTGCTGCAGGTATGAGCCACCTGGCATGTACTTGGCAAGTACACGCCAACCTGGAGTGTACATGCCAAGTACACTCCAGGGCGAAGTGTACATGCCAAGTACACTCCAGGGTGAAGTGTATATGCCAAGTACACTCCAGGGTGAAGTGTACATGCTAAGTACACTCCAGGTTGAAGTGTACATGCATGTACACTCCAGGTGGAGTGTACTATGTACACACTTGAGTTTGTAAAGTCTGTGGCGTTCGCGTTAACAATAAGTCCCCTTTCACAGTGTGCATGATACAACGCGTTGGGAATGGCTGGCGTCTCCACGCGTGGGCACTTATCCGCTTTTGTTGCTCACAGTTATCCTGACAGGACCAGCTTAAAATATGGAACGAAATTAAAAAGTCAATGCAGCCCCACTGCACTTCAAAGAACCCGAATGGAACGATATTTATTTCCTGTTTTTCCCCCAGTCCATGGCTAGGAAACAATAGTTACAATTTGAAATTGTAATTTCGCATTTAGTCCATCTCCTCGCTGCCGCAGAGCGCGAACTGGCGGCACGTGAACTTGAAACGAAAATCACGGTCAGCTCCACCGCCGGTTACACAACCAGGCAGTCCAGTGGGGTCGGGTTTTGTGGGGCCAAAAAACGCGCCACCGAAACAATTTATACAGTAATTCATCGGTGTTATCGATCTCATCCAGGCGAACGACACTGGTAGGAAAAAACTACTGCGTGCTCAATTTTTTCACCTGGACCGTCCGTACCTTGCCAACTACTACGGAGACTCGGTACCAGTTTCACGTAAGATCCTTATAGGCACCACGGTGTAAGGAAGGTCCCGGGTAAGTCCCGTGCCTTTTCCACACCAAACTACGGAATTTTTTTCAGTGAGCTCACCACGGGCCACGATGAACGCAGATATTCAAATCAGCCAGTGAGCCTCTCCCTCTATCTCTCTCCCTTCCAGCGAATAATGGCGCTGACGGTCGAGTTCGGCCGTCGCGAGCCGCCCGGCCGGTTGACCTTGACAACCTCGACTGGCCGAAGCCAAGCCGACTTTCACTATTTTCTGCAGGCGGCATATAGCGTGCATGGCATGGCCCGGAAGTCGAATGGGACCGTGGCGTGCAATGACCCGTAGCCTATTGGCACCCCCGCGGCGTCAAATGGGACCAGCGAGCCGCCGGGCGGAGTGTTTGTTTACTTTTTGCGCGGGACAATGCAAGGTGGCGCTGTGTTTGCTTCCCTTCGCACGGAGCTAATGGGCGTGATGCCTCCGCGTATCATCATCCAGCAAGCGTCCGAAGCGGATCGACCCACCGGCAGGCAATCGGCAGGCAGTCGCCAGGCTATCGCGTCACCATTACCCATGATTGCCTGATTGGGCGGGGAGATAGGCACCTGTCAATGCGGACAAATGTGTCGTTTGCACCGCGAGCATGGCGCCCCACCCCCACGGCCCATTGTACCTGCGGCCGATCCCGAACGGGGCTCTCTGTCTCTGTCGCACCCCGACGGCACGGCCCGCGAGTGCGAGAGAGGCGAAAGGCGGCGCTCGGAGTCAGCCGGCAGGCCGGTGTGTTTGACTGAGCCTAACCTACCCTGACAGGGCGGCCCCTGGCGGCCCCTGGCGTGCCGCTCGCTGACGTTGTTCGGATCGGCGTGACATCCCCAGTCCCCGTAGGGCCCCGTAGGGCCGCGTAGGGCCGCGTAGGGCCGCGTAGGGCCGCGTAGGGCCCCGTAGGACCCCGTAGGACCCCGTAGGACCCCGTAGGACCCCGTAGGATCCCGTAGGGCCATAGGGCCTGTCCTGCAGAGTCTGTCCTGCACGGCCTAGGGGCCCAGGGCCTGCAGGGCCTCGCGGGGGCGTGAGGTGAGGCCCGCCGGGGTTGCCGTCGGTCGGGCCCCGGGGCCTCGGGGCGAGCCGGCCGGATCGAAGCGCGCGCAGCACAAGGGCCGGGCTGCCCTGTGCCGGGCTTGCCGCGCTTGCCGGGCTTGCTGGGCTTGCCGGGCCGCCCCGCGTGGCGCGCCATGGCGGTCGCGGCGTGCAGCGAGGCGGACAGGGTCGATTAGCTGCTGCAGCGCTGCACGTCATCATTTACATTTACAGTGGAGCGGCCGAGGTACATATTTCGAGGCTCGTTACATCGCGCGGCGTTACCTGTATGTACATTGCGTGCCGGCCGAGGGGTGACCCACTGTCAAATTTGATGTACAATGATTGTGTGAATGTGCAAGAATGTGCAAGATTTCTGGCGTTTTTGCCACACATGTTGCCTACTTACAGGCGTTTTTGCCACCTGAATGTGGAATGTGGTCAAATTTTGTACAATGAATGTGGAAGCTGTTCCCCCCTCGGTGCCGGCACATTACAGTCCGATACAAAGCGCCTCAGCACATTGCCGCCGCACGTTGTCCCTGGCCGAGGGGTGGCCGACTTCGATGTTCCTCGTACATCGGTCAAATGTTCCGAAAAATGTTCCCTGATGTTCCCAATGTTCTCATGTTCCCAGTATTCCTCGATGTTCCAAAATGTTCCTTAATGTTCCAAAATGTTCCTTAATGTTCCAAAATGTTCCTTAATGTTCCAAAATGTTCCTTGTGTTCCTCTGGTTTATTATATCTTTTTTAGCCTGTCCCGTGTCAGGATGGTCGGATGCACACTCTCATTCGTAGTGCGAGACATCCGGTTGAAACTATGTCACGGTCGTTTGAGCATTGAGTCACATTCGTTTGGATGTGAATCGGCCAAAAATTACCTTGTTCACATCCAAACGAATGTGACAATGCCACATTTTGTCACGTTCGTTTTAACGTGATGTCACGTACTTGGAACGAGAGTGCATGGTGTGTGTGTGTGTGTGTTTTTTTTTGCGCGCGCGCGTACGTACGTAAAAGGGGGAAGGGGGGAATTGCCGCCGTCCGATCTACTCCAAATTTGGTGTGTTTGGACGACCAAATGAACTACCCTGAGTCGGCTTTTTCGATCCGAGGCCCAGGGGCACTGCTGCAGGTCCGTCATGGTCTACGGGGCAAAGTAGGATCCCCTTACAAAGCTAGAATAGCAAAAGAGGGGTGTTTTTGGAAACAGGGCAAGGTCAACCGGCCATCTTGAGTCAATCGAAGAAGTTTGGACCCAGGTTCGACTTTAGGTGTGGTCAGACTATCCGACAATCAGATTTGCAGTTTGGCTTAGAAGACAGAATTCGATAGCGATATCAAGTAGAATCTATTCTTTGCATTGCATTCGACAGCAATAGAGGTACTCTGGAGATGTTCCCTTAATATTCTCAGATGTTCCCAGATGTTCCTTGATGTTCCTTGATGTTCCCGAATGTTCCCAAATGTTCCAACATATTTCCAGATAATTCCAAATGTTCCCCGATGTTCCTGATGATTCCGATGTTCCCCCTATTCCGAGATGTTCCGAAATGTTCCCAAAATTGGAACATGTTCCAACATGTTCCGTCCGGAACATGTTCCTCGTACAGAAATTTCTGGAGTCGGCCACCCCTCGTCCCTGGCCTTGTCCCTAACGCTGCTGCCGGCGTTCTTATACTGCGGCCCTGCGGTCAGCGATAAAGGATACAACCAACGTAAACTTTTTATTCCCGTTTAATTTCTGTGCTGTTTATTTACGGGGGTCTTTCGGCGCCGACGCGAGCGGAACGCGAATTATTTAGAAAAACCGCAGGGAGGGCGGGGGATTTAATCCGGGGGTAAAAACGGGGCTGTAAAAGAGAGACGGGAACACAGATATGAGCCGCGAACGCCGCGAAGCAGCACTGTGGCAAAAAGGTACGGAAAATTCTGTTAATTTTTTTGCCAGGATTCTCCGTAGCCCTCTTATCAATATTCTCCGTAGGCTCTTACAGTATTCTCCGTAGGGCCGTACAGTATTCTCTGTAAGTCCACACAGTCTTCTCCGTAGGACCTGGAAGACTGTATAGTCCTACGGAGATCACTGTAAGGTCCTACGGAGAATACTGTGCGGTCCTACGGAAAATGCTGTAAGAGCCTACAGAGAATATTGATAAGGGGGCTACGGAGGATTACCACAAGCTGTTTACAGAATTTTCCGTAGCTTTTTGCCACAGTGAGGGAAGGGAGGAACAGTGGCCGCTGGGGCAGTACGGCCTTCTCGGCCTTGCGGGGGATTTGCTTGCCAGTGGCTTGGCCGGCCGGCCCTGCAGACTGATTCCGAGAGTCGTTTTCGTCGCTCTGTCTCTCGCGCACTCATGGCGCATTCCGTGCAGGTGCGAGAGAGACAGAGCGACGAAAACGGCTCTAGTCTACCGGCCGTTCTGGCCCCCTGACAATGCCGGACGCCGCGGACGCCGGACGAGCTGCATGCATTTTTCATATCGCATCAGAGCAGCAAGTGGCCCACGCCGCCCACCCCCAAATGCATTCATGCTATTCGGCAGAACACTTTCTTTGGGCCAGCGGGCCGCGGCCGAAAAGGGCTCCGTCCCTCCGTCTCTCTCGCACCCGCACGGGACGCCCTGTGAGTGCGAGAGAGACAGAGCGAGGAGAGCTTCAGAGTCCCTTGACGCAATATTTGACGCGGCGGCGTCTAGGCTCTGCATTTGAAACCCCCACCCACGCCTTTGCCTTCGCCTTCGCGGCTCAAAGTGGGCCACAAGACCGTGGTGGCGGCCAAAACTCTAGACGCGTTTTGAGCTCCAGAGTCGCTGAATAGGACTCGAACCGAACGTGTGACCCCATCAATGGATTCCTCGTTCGGAGAGCAATCTATTGGTGGGGTCACACGTTCGGTTCGAGTCC